AGTGAAAGACTGACAAGAGGCAAGTTACAAAAAGATATTTCAGAATGTGATAATGAGTCCAGGTTTGTTCCAAGTAAAAAGCGAAAGGTCACCAATGGTGAGTACAAAATATACTAAACAGTCATAAGGCGATCAAGTGAATATATGAGATAGACTATTATCAGAAGTTTCAACCATACTGAGGTATCTACTAACTATCCATTGACTTATGACAGCAATATCAGAAATAAAATGATAATTCTTATAATATGTACTGTTACAGCCGCTAGTTAGTAGAAATCTTATATTGTTTTACACATTCACAGATAGTGACGTCCGAGTTTATGCAGTGACATGCGATCCAGAGTGTTTTCCTTTACTGAAGTACAACTGCGGTCTGGTCGACAAAATTACAAACAGATTTCAGAAGGTGAAACACCTTACTACCGGTAAACAGCAAGATGTAGCAATACCGCACATCGCACAGACAGACGAAATGGTGTTTACTGTGGTAACAAGTGGTAGAATCGATGAACATCTACCTCTCATCGTTAGAAAACAAAACCTCAACAAGACCAACTGCAAAGATATCACAGGTAATTGTTTGTACCCTATAACACAAGCGATCTTCTTAACGGTTTCTTAAGATGATATGTTTATTGATCGTCGCGTGGTACGTGGCGTTTTCAATAATCTCCAGAAATCAGGAACAACAATTGAAACCACAGCAACATTGAAAATCAACATTATAAGCTCAACACACTGTGATGATCATTCAGAATCAAAAAACGAAATTTCATTACTTTGATAAGCATTTATTTTTTCAATTCAGTAATATGATCATCATATTCGTCAATAAGAATGATACGAAAAACCTTTTTAGAACACTCATGATGGTTGTGATGGAAATTTCCACTAAACTTGCGGAACTTCTGTATCGACGAGAAAATTTTGGTGTGAAGCATGCTGTTATAAAAGTGACTTAGTTATGTATAAATGATGAACTTGGCCCTCTGAGGAAAAGAGGCGGGGAGCAAAATATTAAATAGAGAAATTGCCTTAAAATCCTTCTTTTGGAATGAAGATATTTTGACCAAATGTGGTGAGAGGCATCAATGGAGGAAATGCAACCAACTTTGTATAAGTGGCGAATCTTGACCCCTAGAAGGGAGTATGTTCCAAAATATAGGTCTCATCCCCTGAGGGCAAAGAGGCAGGGACCAATAGGGGAAATAATAATTAATCCTTTAACTATATGGCTTAAAGGATGGTGTAACGCAGATTAATCTTTTTGTATTTCTTCAGGAGTGTCCCGTCGATCACGCATGATACAGGAGGCCAAAGGAAGTTGTTGTTGCTTGCTGTTTGAGAAGTTTGGTGACAAATTAGATGTCAGGGTAAGCTGAGTTTGAATAACTTATCTGAAATTATAGCGTTGTGAACTTCAATTCTTCATGTTTTCTTATGAACATATTCATTTCGATTCGCATGCAACTCTGTTAAAATATATTATCTTGTATGTTTGCTTTTCAGACACAATTTATGCTTCGTGTTTTGTCGCAACCTGCAAACGCACCGCCACCAAAAAGTAATGCCAGTGTCATGGAAACCGATATGACTGAAAAAGGCAAACGGAAAGGTCTTACAGATTTGCTTTCTCAATCCCTGTTCTCATATGCGGAGGAAATATTGGGCAAGTTACGACAGACAGAATCGACTATTTCTTTGGATGAACAAAGATTGGTTGAACAAGCTGTGCAATCAGCAAATGCTTTGCTGAACAGGAAGATCACATTGAAGCCATCGGTATCGGACTGTATTCCTGAAAATGTCGCTACTTCATTAAAAAAGTGAGTCAATCAGTGACTAAGATTGTGTTGATATCAAGCTTTTTCTTTAATTGATTAATGCAACAGAGATGGAGACGCTTTAGCAACCTAATCGTTTATATGATGATTTCAGTTTCAACTACAAATTTGGTACCTACATTGCAAGAAAGAAAAACACTTGCAGAAACTTTTCCTCATTTTACACATGTTCATAACGTTCTTCTGATATTATCAGCTATATGAAAAAACGAAAAAACATTGAATTATTGGATTCATGCACCTCTTTTGATAAATTTTCATTCATTTCAAAGACCTATTATATATTGATTTCAAACTTCAGACCCTTTGCATCACTGAAGAGTATTGGAGTATCATGCTAAATTTGTTTTGCAATCAACTACTCGTTGATGTGTCTCTTTAAAACTTAAGTCCAAATGTTCTATGTCTATGGATAACTTATCATGGAACAACTGTATATTCACCCGAACTACAGTCTCGTTGGCATTGCATAATAAAAATTTCTTCGATTTCATATGAACTGCAGCGTATTCGAAAATAAAATAATTTTGATTCGATAAGAAATATTTCATCCTTCTTACGAGGAACGATCAGTTCTATAGCATCAAGTCATCTACGTATAAAATTGGTGAGACTTTTAAATGATCTCCGGATATCATGTCAGCAATATTGCTGACTGATATATTGTATGTAAGAATATTGATGGTCATGTTCAGTTCTTCAGAAATGGAATCAGGAATTATATCTTTCCTTACAGGTTGGATGGCGTGCTGGCTTTCGGTTTACTTTCAACTGGCATAGTGGTAATAGTTGACGAGTCTTTCACTACACGACGAGCTATTGTAAACAGTGTGAAGAAAGCATGCAGCCCTGATTACAAATCACCAAAGGTCGAATTTACCTCAAAGACATTTCTTAAACCAACCTATATGAAGCAGGGAGACAGACTAACAAACAACTGTGGTCCCAAGACTGGAACACTTGGAATGGTTGCAAATGCCAAAGATAACACTGGAGCTGAATTTGTAGTGGGCCTAACGAGTGGGCATTACTTCAAAGAAGGAGACAATGCAGAGGGTTTTGGACAATGCATTGCCAGCCAGAATGAACCTGACATCGCTGTTATAAAGGCACTGACCCCGGGGTATTCATTCAATTTTTATGATGAAAACGGAAAACTTTGCAATTGTGTACCATTGAGGCGAGAAATGAAAATAGACGATGTTGTCTACAAAAGAGGCGCTGAAACTGACCTAACAAAGGGTTACATCATAAGTAACAACTTCCATGTTAGAAACTCCAGCGAGTCTGTACCTTTATGGAGCGAGGGGCGTGGATACCTTGTTCAGGGAGTTCATGACAATTTGTTTGCTGAAATGGGCGACAGTGGATCTTTTATTTTCACCCGAGACAAAGAAGACCAGGAAAAGGAAACTGTCCAAATAGTGTCAATACAGTCAAGAAATATGGAGAAAGAGGCGGCTAGGAAAATGAATTTTCCAATAAATATCAGTTTTACAGAAGCAGCTGACAAATGTTTCGAGAGTTTGCGTGTTGAAAAGAAAATCGAAATAAAGTTACCAACAAAGGAGATCATGCACGAAGATGTTTAGAGGAATTTGTCCAAAACACCTCGAATTTCCGAGGAAAACGAGATTGTCCAAAGCCTGTATTCACCATTTCAATATGCATTGAATTGCAAACGTTTTCTCGTTACCTTTTGTTAGTGTGCACTATAACGGTGCATGCGTATTCAATAATTCAACCCTGAGAAATCTTAAAAGTTTAAGAAAGAGGTATTTTTTCCAAGATATTTTTCATCTTAACACGCAAGCAAATGCACATTTTCCCATCTTTAATAAAATGTCGTCATCGTGATCTCATAGGGAAATACATTTATCAATATGGTAGGCGTATCAATTGTTCAATATTATCATTATTGATAACTTTGATGGTATTGAACCTGGCTCTCATCTCAGAACGTGACATGACTTGCTTAGATGGACCACGATTTACACGGCGCTTGCACTTCCGATACATCATTGATTATCTGATTATCTCTGTACTGTTTTCAAGGATATTCAGTTCGGTTACGAGGCCTTCTCAGTTTGTCTCGTTTCATCAACTTTGAGTGTGAATTAAGCTTTTGTGAACAGATATAGATTTTCTGAATAATTTTGTATTTTACAATCAAGAACTACAACCCATGCTGAAAACAAGGGAATAACCTACACCAATAGTTTTAACAAATGTACAGTATTCATTTCCATTATATTACGAACAAATGGATCTTTAAACTTACTGCTAGTACAGTTCGTGTGACATTGTGTGAAAAACGTGGTGTATTGAAGTTTTAAAATTGAGGTGTGTAACACTTGTAATGTCGCTTATACTTGTGAATACAATTGTATTTCTAAGTTTTGATTGTCTCCCTAAGATTTATATTGTCTATCTAAGTTTTTTGTCTTTCCATGTTAGAAAAGTTTTATATTTTCTCTCTAAGTTTTATATTGTATTTTTAAGTTTTATAAGTTTTATATTGTATTTTTAAGTTTTATAAGTTTTTTATATTGTATTTTTAAGTTATATAAGTTTTTTGATTGTCTGTCTAAGTATTGACCGACTTTCTAAGTTTTGACCGTCTTATTAAGTTTTATATTTTCTCTCTAAGTTTTATATTGTATTTCTAAGTTTTATAAGTTTTATATTGTATTTTTAAGTTTTATAAGTTTTATATTGTATTTTTAAGTTTTATAAGTTTTTTATTGTCTTTCTAAATTTTGACCGTCTTTCTAAGTTTTATATTTTCTCTCTAAGTTTTATATTATCTTTCGAAGTTTTATATTTTCTCTCTAAGTTTTATATTGTCTTTCTAAGTTTTCTAAGTTTTATATTATCTTTCTAAGTTTTCTATTTTCTCAGTTTTATATTGTGTCTTTTTTCAATTTATTCAATTTTTATGATGAAAACGGAAAATTTTGCAATTGTGTATCATTGAGACAAGAAATAAAAATAGACGATGTTGTCTACAAAAGAGGCGCTGAAACTGACCTAACAGAGGGTTACATCAGAAGTAACAACTTCCATGTTAGAAACTCCAGCGAGTCTGTACCTTTATGGAGCGAGGGGCGTGGATATCTTGTTCAGGGAGTTCATGACAATTTGTTTGCTGAAATGGGCGACAGTGGATCTTTTATTTTCACCCCAGACAAAGAAGACCAGGAAAAGGAAACTGTCCAAATAGTGTCAATACAGTCAAGAAATATGGAGAAAGAGGCGGCTAGGAAAATGGATTTTCCAATAAATATCAGTTTTACAGAAGCAGCTGACAAATGTTTCGAGAGTTTGCGTGTTGAAAAGAAAATCGAAATAAACTTACCAACAAAGGAGATCATGCACGAAGATGTTTAGAGGAATTTGTCCAAAACACTTCGAATTTCCGAGGAAAACGAGATTGTCCAAAGCCTGTATTCACCATTTCAATATGCATTGAATTGCAAACGTTTTCTCGTTACCTTTTGTTAGTGTGCACTATAACGGTGCATGCGTATTCAATAATTCAACTCTGAGAAATCTTAAAAGTTTAAGAAAGAGGTATTTTTTCCAGTTTTATATCGTGCTTCTAAGGTTTATATTGTCTTGCTGAGTTTTATATTGTATTTTTAAATTTTAAAGCACATTTTACCTATTTTTTTTTCCTCTTGCAGTGTTTTTTTTTTTTTTTTTGAGAAGGTTGTCCTGATGAGTGTTTTCTTTTCACCTTTAAAATTTGATTTGTACAACTGGTGACCAATAAACGAAATCTCTATATCTTATAATAATTCTGATGGAGGTGTTTTGAAGGGTGAAACTATAACTTAAAGCATGGCCAGCTATAAGCCATTTTGTTTCCCAAGTTAGCCTGACTTTTTAAGGCAAAAGTAATGACTAAAAGCAGACTAGATATTGATAATATAATGCTAGAGAGAAATCTGTCATAATCTTTGTTAATGTTCGCAAATAAAATAAAAGATAGCCATGTGTAATCCATCTGATGATATTCTGCTAAAAAAGTTGTGAATTTTGCCCTTTAAAAACTTTGTTTATATTGTTAAAAAACTATCATTTTTAATTCTTATAACAATAGTATTATTTCTTACATATTTCTGTTCATAAAACTGTAATATCTTTACAATATTATTGTTAATTACAAGCTAACCAATACATAATCTTACATCAGAGAAAAATGTGTCATGGATGAGACAATCATTCAGATGTGAATAGCAGTGCTGAAGCATGATGTAACCATCTCCAAGATGAATATATTTACAACATATGATAATTCTAGGCCAGACAAAAAAGTCAAATGAAAAGATTGGGACATTCCAACATCCTTTATAACAATGAGTATTTGTTCCAAGGATAATAACTCCAGATCTAGAGACGAATGGCAGTGGTATTGCATTCAGCTTTCGCCTAGGCTTTGGAATTTGATTCCTGAACCAAATGTGAAGATGTATGGGGTCACATGCCTGTACCCTTTGGTTTTCCCTAAGTTCTCCAACTAAGAAATGGCCTTCCTTTTTAAAATTGGTCCAGACAGGAGCTGATGACATCTAGTTTGTTTAAGATAATTATTGTTATTTTTGTCAATATATAATGATCTGATGTGTATAATCTAATAAAACTTGACCTGATTAAAGCATTTTTACAGCTTTATAATAAGCGTGTCTTTGTAAATGCAGAAAGAAAAATATACCTTTCACTTATTGATACATTTTAAGATGAATTAAATCTCTTGAGAAATTCATAAGATATCTTGTACACACTTTTAACAAGAGATCATAGAGGCACCTTGGCGCCCACCATCATTTGGTCTTTATTTGTGCTTTCCGAAAGTTGGATCTTCTTCGCTTTGCTCTTAATGAAATTTGAACATTCATTTGCGGGAATAGCAATGATAGCCTTTAACTGACAAATCATAAACGGTTGCCTGGAAGCCATTTGATTTTGTGATCAGTTTCAAAATCGAACAGGCACAACTAGGGCTCAAAGGAATCTACATGTGGAATTTGAGAGAGATCCATTCAGTACTTCTTCAGAAATAGGGATCAGAAGCTTTACTATGCGAAATTCAATATGACCGCCTGTCTCCTACCTTAACTGGATTATTCTACACAGAATGATACATAAATCCTCAACTTTACTTAAAAGAAACCTACTGAAGTGAAAAGATACCGTACAGGTTTGAGATAGACATGAGGAATTTCGGTTGTGTAAATATAAATAAAACAAGAACTAAGAGAGCTAATCCAGTTAAAAAAATCCATATGCCTCCAACTACATCCTAACCCGAATCTATCGAACGCTTGACAGGAAAGTGGGCGGGGTCTCTATGTCATCAATGGTTGAAATGGAGAGTCATAATTTGCAAAGAAGACATGATAGACTTTCTTTTTTAAAACAAAATGGTGTAGATCTCAGGCTTTGTACAATTCCGTTGATATTGTGATAAATATATCACTATTAGACTCAACTCATTCTAGAATGGAGATAATACGTTAGTTTTATGTACTGGAGATTCGACAGTAAATTCTAAGGCTGTGCACCCAATGCAGATTCTGCTAACTTTCTGCAGAGTGTTGTGACTATTGATGAAACGTGGGTCCATCATTTTATCCCAGAGGCCAAACAATACTCTAAACAATAAAAGCACCCTATTTCACTCCCGCCAAATACAGCTCCAACGGCTGGGGAGGTTATGACCTCAGTTTTCTGGGATGCTAATAGTGTTCTGATGGTAGATTATCTGCAAAAGGAACAAACGATCAATGGCACATATTACACTTCATTTAGGAAATTAAATTAAATTATTAATTTCAATTGAAATTTGAATTTCTTTCTTTGAAAAATAATTGTCCGCCAAAAGTAAAACCCTGAAATATGAGTGTCACAACTTATCCATCAAATAAACAAATATTAATAGGCGTGTACCTCAACAAAACTGAAGTATTTATATGCGCAAGCGTTTGATAAATATGTGTTTATGACATCTCTTACGAGTAACCAATATAAAACGCTAAATTGTTCAAATGAGGCAGATATTAATTCTTACATTCTTTTAAGCAATTTCTTAAAGGTGTTGTAAACACAGGATGGTATATGCCACAGCGGTGTCACCTGGGTATGTGCCATTGTGGTCTACGTGCCTTCATGTGTTAGCTAATACAATGGACTAACTTGGCGGATCCTCAAACGAAGTATGGTAACCGGTCTAATCTAAAGAGAACTGCACCTCCCACGTTCAATTTTTAAGTGTTAGTCATATGTCAGCGATCCTTTTCTGTATCGTCTGATATCATATTTTTTTTTCTTTTCATGTTTATGTTTTAAGTAGATTATTGGTATCGTGATAGCATTTTATGAGGCCAAAATAAGAGCTTATGTACAGTTAGACCTTAACATGGTCTGCTATTAGTCTGCCGAGAACATATATATATATATATATATATATATATATATATATATATAACGCTAGTACGTTACATGCGCAGATACGTTCTACATGTAGTTATGCACCTTTGTAGAGTATCGAGGTTTACAAACTGTATGAGGAAGTAAATAAGTGACCTGGCCATATATGAGTTATACTGCAGTACATACAGGTGAGTGTATTGATGCTGATATTGGTTCCAAAACATTCCCTTTAAATCAGTGAAATATATCTAGTGATAGAGTATCTTTATTTTTGGGCAAAGTCTTAATTAAAACTACGATATAAAATAACGAATTGAAATAAGTTTTTTAGCATTTAAACACACCCTAGATTTTTACATATGTGAATAAATCTGATCAGCTCTATCAGTTTTAGTGTCATCTGAATCATAGCTAGAGAATATCTCTCTCCTAAGATGATGCCATTGGGTTATACTTATATACACTAAAGGAATATGTGATGTTTGAAACTAAAAGAAAGCAATGGAGTGTTATACATGACTGCTCCAGTGATCACGTGAAGACATTTTAAAATACAAAGATCTTTTAAGTGATAAAGTATACGATTTAACTGCATGCTAACATCGCTGTATAAATAACAACATGCGTTTTTATGTCTACAGAAAACAGGTTTTGTAAGTTCAGATTCATAATGCGTTTCTCCATCCGTAAATTGAGTCACTTTAGTCTATCCCGCAGTTACGCAGCATGATTACAGACTTGTGATGAACGATGTTTTCATTTGTGTGTACAACCCTTCAATCGTTTGATAAACATGTACATGCTATTTGACGACAATGTTTGTAAATATTATCTCACCTATTGTGTCAGTTCAATTCAGTGTTATCCAAAACCCTGATATGGTATCTTTGTGTTGTAAGTTGTAATCAGCTGGTTTTGTATCACATATAACAGGCCTAAGTTAGTTATACCACTCTGATCAGCTCTATTAGTTTTAGTGTCATCTGAATCATAGCTAGAGAATATCGCTCTCCTAAGATGATGTCATTAAGTTAAACTATTTCACTGTGACTTTTTATTTTGAAAAAAATTGTAACAAATTTGAATAATAATAATTGGAGTACTATGTATATCTTTACAAATAAAATGTCTCGACTAGACCTTCTCAGTTTATTTTTATCTTATACATGGATATTATTCATTCGGATATCGATCGATAACAAATAAAACTAAAGTTAACAGATAATCTAAATATCTAATGGCTGCCTATGTCATTGACTAACACAGTGATTTAACACATTGTGATTAGAATAATATTCTGTTAATGCCAGCAAAGATACAAATGGTATGTATGTTACATCATATTTGTCTAAAATTATCGTAATTCATACAAACAGTAGTACAAAGGACATACAAATGAAAATCACTTTTAAAACGAGTTCAGTATTAGAAATAGAAACATGTTGAGTTATTTATGAAACTAGTCATTCAGCTTTTTCGTCCTTTTAGGATTCACCACTCTGTATCATTCGTTTAGTTACACTAACAGTGTGAGAAGCAAAATGAATATTAAACAAAGATTAACGATCCAACCAAATAGATAAATATATCAGGGAAGAACATTAACTTTTAATTTAAAAAAAAGACTCAACAATGATGATTCTCGTGTAAAATCGTGTTAACCACAGCAATGTTCCTCGAAGACAATCAGTAAAACCCACATCTGTATATAATACTTTTTATTTATGTTACAGGAGATGGCAAGTGCAAAATTTAGTAAATGTAAGTGAAATTCCTAAAATGTTATTGAATTACGACTTTTTCTCGTTCGTGCGTGACCTTCAGGTTTTCATTCTATCTTTTACTGATGAAGGGCACACTTATTGGTTTAATAGTTTCACAACGTAATGATTTTGTACCAAAATATACAGTATTGCGAATTTACAAGTTTATCCCGGAAATATTTAACGTATTTAACCTCCAACCGTACTTACGTAATGTTCTTGATCTGAGCTGTTTTGTATCCACGTAAAGGGACATAACACTAGGCATACCAATTTGATGGGTACATTTATTTACATATATATTTACATACCTATACAACAGATTGTTTTATATCTGCTCATCCACACATTATCATGGAAGTTGTGGCCTGCATTAGTCTACTATTCTGTAATGAAAATGCTCTTAGCATAAAAATTACTATGATAATCATACTGAACAATGCTTCCTTGCTGACATACAAAACACGAAGAATTTATATCCTATTTCATATTATCATCAATACAATGTGAGCCATATATGTATTATCATTACGATTATATGCTATATAACGAAGGTATAAATAGTATTTATATAGTGACAATCACGTGGTACAAATCAATTTACACCTTTTGATTAATAACCGATAACATTAACATTTATGTTACAGCTATGGTTGGAAGGAAATTTAGAGAAAAAGAAACCAAAAAATTAGCATCAGCATCACTCCCACCTCATTCTCTCATAACCAGTAAGTATTTAGTTAGCAAAGTTGCATAAAGACTTAATCTTTATCAGGTGGGCTCGGTATGCATAGCATGTCCCTTTGCCTTATTCTTGTAATCTAAAGTTACAATATACGTAACTTGAAAGGAAAGAAATTAAGAAAATGCATATATCGATTTGATAATGATAAATAGATAGGTACAGAAATATAATTTTAAAAAAACGTGTTACATATGTATCTGGGAATGATGTACGTATAGGGAATTGCTTGCAGTAATCCGATCCACTTTTAGCAAATAAGCTGAACTTTAAGTCAAATATTGAGGTACTTACAAGGGAGACATTCGGAGAGAAATAGTTGTTTATGAAGGAGAACCTAAATAAATTTGCAATGTTGATTTTCAACAGAATTACTTAATGCAGGGTATAGTTTATTTACAGATTTCATTTTGAAAAATATCAAAGAATATGATTTAACAACTGATTAAAATAATAATAAAAACAACTAACAATCACTTTCCCATCTAATAATCGCACTTTACTGTGCATTTCAAAGTATTCCATATCTAAGTAAAGCAAACCGGCCAGAGTACACCATTAACCGTTCTTCTATCTGAATGACAAAGGTAAATATACGATACCGTCAACCATGTAAGATTATCGTGCTATTTCTATCCGTAGGCGATATAAGACGATTGGCTGTGAAGATAAGGATCATATTGATTGGGAAGACAGGTTCTGGGAAAAGCTCATCAGGTAACACTATTCTAGGACGATCTGCCTTTCCTGTGGTGCCAGGGGGTACCTCCGTTACAAGAAAATGTTCCTTTGCCAAGGGACACGTACGAGGAAGACAGCTATTGATTGTTGACACACCGGGCTTGTTTGACAGTCATTTACCAATTCATGAAACGCAAGCCGAACTTATTAAATGTATTGGTCTCGCTGCCCCTGGTCCCCATATGTTTCTAATCTTTTTGCCGTCAAACATTCGCATTACGCCAGAGGAAAATGATGCGTTAAATCTACTGAAACAAACATTTGGGGACGCAATGGTAAATTACTCCATGGTTGTGTTTACAAAGCTAGATGAAATGAAGAGACAGTTTTTGACTGAGAAGACATTACTGGAAAGGCTTCCGGTTAGCGTGAAATCATTTATCGAACTTTGTAAAGGAGGACATATGTTTCTTAATAACAATGCATTAAATCATGAAAACGAAAAGCAAGTAGAAGAATGTATTAATAGGGTGGAGTTTGTAATGGACCAAAACATTCCAAAATGTTTTTCAAACCAAGAATTTGAAATTGCAGCGAAGATTATGTCTGATTACAAGAAGGAAATTAGAGATAAGAAAAAACCACTGAGACAGATTGAAGACGAATCTAACATAACCGAACTCAAAGAGGAGGTGGAAGACGATCAAATATGTGTGCCAGGTGTGGAGGATATTGAAGAGCAGGAAGAAAGTGACAACCAGTATAGACAAGAATGTGCTGATGATGGAGGTGTATTCCAAGCTTTAATGCAAGGACTTAGACATTTCTACGAAAGAATCAAAAACATGTTTCAATCCATTACCAGATAAGAAGTTATACATTATTTGTTATAGAACATATAATTAAGATCCAGGGAAAAATAAATTGTCAACAATTTGGCGGACGTTAGAACCCTAGAACTCGTCATCAAAAAGATACTGTTACACAGAAGGACTTTTCTGTGTACGTTGGTTTACTTATGTCCGAGTAAATAAGACAAAGCGTTGATATGTTTTGCCAAGGTTTAACATGACTACTTATACTTCTTAAGCCTTGTAGAATGAGGCCAACGTGTTCTTAATATTTCATTATCAGATGTATTTATCATTACGCTATAGAACAAACTTCTTATTTGTAAATATGGACCCTATTGTTTATAGTTATTGAAAATAATGCATGTACGACTAATAACTTGTACTAATTATTGCGACATTCTTCGTTGTGCCATGTGGTAGACATTGGAGATTTTTGGGGTCCATTCTGATTGAAGTCAAATGATATCGTCCTATATTAGAGCCATTGACGGCATGACTTGATATATATGATTTCAAGTTAGAAGATTGCTGATGAACTTTCCTCTCTCTTGTGTCTTTTTGCTACAGTTAAGGTAAGCATACATAAAAGCTAGCACTACTTTACAGCATTTTACATTTATAATTAGATAAAGTAGGCTAGGATACAACCAAGACCAACTCATCACAGTAACCACTCCAATAAACGATGGGTTCACTAAGCAAGTAAAACCTTCCATGCCGGATGTCATAGAGGACATGTCGAGCCAGTGTAAGGCCTCACTCAACAACAGCAACTGGTAGTAACATGCACTGGATTGTAACGTAGATCTAAAAATAAAAACACAAATCTTGGCAAACCGATTTGTCGGTTTAGGAACATAAGGTTTTTTTTTATGTAATAACAGGAAGAATTACTGAAAAGATATGGCGATCTGTAGGCACAGTATCTTTAAATAATGTCTAATTTTCGTCCGTGGGATTTGATCCCAAATTACCTTACGATTTTCGGGTCATTCACCACCCTAGTCAGCCGGAGGTGTTTTTCATTAATGATTGCATTCCTTGGAATCTTCTGAGACTAATTCCAAACTTTTGGCAAAAAAACCATAATGGGTTACCTTTTAACTGATTCCAACCAACCCAGCAATCATAAGTTACTTGGTCGCAAGGTCGATGGATAATGCTGTTTTGACAAAAAGTTGTCACTGTGAGCAGTAATCCAATGCAATCTATTTGACAGCTTCGGTACAGAATTAAACCAAGTGGCTCAACAAAAAACTACATGTTTAATTTTTTACCAATTATATCACCTAACAAACACAAAACACACAAAAAATATCAACTCAGTCATAATCCAAAATAACATTCAATAAAACTAGGGCAAGTTAAGCAAAAAACATTTACATCGGAACTCCAGTAAAAGTTCAAAGAAAGTAAGACCAGCCGTTCCTGAAGGAAACAGGAAACGCGTCTTCTGCTTCATTGACAATACCCACCATATAAATTAGTCAATCCAAGCAAGTAATATCACCTTCTACAAGTTCTATCATTGAAGAATATATGAAAACCTTTAAGTCTTCTTCTCTTGTGCTGTAATTTTAGGAATTGAGCTGGAACCTGTATAAGCCAAACTACTTGATTGCAAAATTCGGAAAGAAATTGATCACTTTGTTCCTCGCAACAATCTCGCTATCAATGAGATTTATTTCTAAATTAGATTTCAAAACTTTCTCAGAACAAACGTCAGCCGCATAACATGTGAAGGCAAGAGGAATTTAGAGAACTGGTTAACAATTATCAAGGATTTGGCAAGATATTCATACTTGATTCTGTGAGGAGTTGGAAAACAAATGCACGGTACTTCTCTCAGGCAAAAGAGATGCTAAGGCAATAGAGTTGTTGAAGAAGTTAACCGCCAATTGTTGGTACTTCTCTCGGGCAATAGAAAATGTTGTATAAGTAGATTACCAGCAAATAATGGTACTTCACTCAGGCAATAGAAATGTTGTAGAAGAAATTTATCGCCAAATATTGGTACTTCTCTCAGGCAATAGATTTATTGTAGACGTAGTTAACCATCCAATTCGGTACTTCTCTCGGGCAATAGTGATGTCGTAAAAGTTGTTTATCGCCAATTGTTGGTACTTCTCTCAGGCATTAGAGATGTCGTAGAAGTTGTTTATCGCCAATTGTTGGTACTTCTCTCAGGCAATAGAGATGTCGTAGAAGTTGTTTATCGCCAAATGTTGGTACTTCTCTCAGGCAATAATTTTGTTGTAGACGTAGTTAACCACCAAATTTGGTACTTCTCTCAGGCAATAGAAATGTTGTAGAAAAAATTTATCGCCAAATGTTGGTACTTCTCTCAGGCAATAGATTTGTTGTAGACGTAGTTAACCATCTAATTCGGTACTTCTCTCGGGCAATAGTGATGTCGTAAAAGTTGTTTATCGCCAATTGTTGGTACTTCTCTCAGGCAATAATTTTGTTGTAGACGTAGTTAACCACCAAATTTGATACTTCTCTCAGGCAATAATTTTGTTGTAGACGTAGTTAACCACCAAATTTGGCACTTCTCTCAGGCAATAGAAATGTTGTAGAAGTAGATTACCACCAAATGTCCGTACTTCTCTCAGGCAACATAGATGTTCTAGAAAAAATTTATCGCCAAATGTTGGTACTTCTCTCAGGCAATAGATTTGTTGTAGACGTAGTTAACCATCTAATTCGGTAAATTACAGACAGAAAGTTTGAACTAACATAACTCCAAGATCCTACGATGAAATTTTGTTTGTTATCGAATAGGTTTGGTAACGTGCCTTCTAAATTATGACGTGATTTTCAACTTTGTCGATGGAACAAAATGGCTGCCAAGACGCCAATTTTTATTTTTTCAATAATGACGTGATGTTTTGAAATCATCTTTGGATATGTTATGTAGAATTTCAAATAAGCGGTTTTCGGTAAGGGTCAAAGTTCAAAAAGTGCAATTTAGGGTACCAAACTATCCGAAATTTCTCCAGTTCAGTAAGGTCTAGCCTTTGATATTTCATACACATAATGCTAAGGCAATTGCATATTAGGTTTGTTAATGTGAAAGACCTTGACCTACTTTCAAGTTCACAGTGGTCAATTATAATCATTAAATGACATTTTTTTACATTTTAAGAGTAAAACAGTTACATTATTTCGCTAACAATTTCCTGTTGAGACTTGCTTTTGATTGCTTGAAACAAAAATTCCACAAAAGTTCAACTTCCTGTTTTCCAAAGAGGTTAAAGTTCAAAACTTCAATGTAAGGTAACTATGTATACGAAACATCTTCTCAAGTTTAAAAGGATGTAGAAATTTGAAATCTGATATATGATATATATGATATTAAGGTAATATGATTGTCTGTTATTGTTTTTAATACTGTTGACCTTGACCTAATTTCAAGGTCACTGCAGTTAATTATATTAATAGCATTAAATGACGTTTTCTTAATTTTTAATAATACAACAGTTACGTGTTCCATTTAAAAACCTTCTGTAGAAATTTTTTTTATTGGTTCAAACAAAACCTCCACAAAACACCACCTTCCAGCTTTTCTTAGGGGTCAAAGTTTAAAACTTCAGTGTAGGGTATTAACATATACGAAACTTCTTCAAGATTGGCAAGGCCTAGACGTTCGATACATCCCAAATATAATGCTCAGACTATTGTCTATCAAATTTGTAAATATGAATAACCTTGACCCACTTTCAAGGTCAGAGGCGTCAATCATGTGAAAAATTCCAAAGAATTTAATTTACTACTTTAAGAGGTAAACAATTGTGAAATTCCTTAAAAACCTCCTGTGGACAATTACTATTGATAACAATAGGTAATGTTTTCCAAAAATTCAACTTCTTATTTTTTATTTTTTTTTTTTTGTACTGTTAAAAACAATGTTAAACAGCAATATTTTGGAAAACAGTGCTTTGATCTCTTACTATTGATGATTCCTTTGGTGCTTTGATTTCATGCAGAGTGCCAATGTATTGTAGACATTGCCTTTAATTACAGGTCAAAATAGGTGAAAAGCCTGTTAAAATTGTCTGTTGAAAATTTCTAGTTATTGTTGTTATTGGAAGAGTTTGAAGTTATTAGCTTATGTTTTATCTTACATTTTACGTACTTCTAATTCCCCCTGGGCACTGCTTTCTCTTTTACTTCCCCAACTAAGTACGTTTCATGGGAACATTGAATACCTCTGGAATCTTAATGCTTCTTCAGGCAGAAAGATTTGCTGCATTGAGATTTAGTTGTGTCACTTAGCATAACAGCCCATTGTCTAAGGTCAGACACTAACAGACACTTATTAGTTTTTAATTTGTTCATCTGAGAACATTCATTAACCTGAAATCCAAATCAAAATGTTACAGAAACAAATGGAACAATGCACAACTACTTGAAGGGATAATGGGGTCTCTACATATGAAATATGCAAAAGATCCATCAAGTACTTTCCCAGAAAAAATGATTACATACTTTTACTGACAAATTCCAAGATGGCCATCTGTCTGCCATGTTGTTTTTCAACTCAGTCAGAAAATGAGACAATGCACAACAAGTGACACAGGGAAACCTATGTATGAAAATTGAATAGTATCCATCTAGTGCTTCTAAAGAAAAATCAAATTACAAGAAAAGTTTTAGGACAGATGGACAGATCACAGACAAAGTTTGGTATGAGCAACCCACCATCTAATGATGGTGGACTAACAATTTGTATTTGTATCTTAAGGTACGACAGCTGCATGCATGAAGGATTCAAATTCATGTCTGGTTGAGTTACAGATGAAGAGGATTGCTTGCAGTTTATCACAAAATTAAAAGTCTAACTGGCATGGCATATTTCTCTCAAATGTAAAATAGGAATCTGTTGCTTACAAGTTTCTATATCCAACAACCACAAGAACAACTAAAACTTTATCATATGACTGTTTTAAGAGGTTGCTGTCTACATCCAGTGCCTATTGATTGAAAGTTCTGTAGCTAAACATGACCACCTACAAGAAATGTTCCTACCCTTAGGACACAAAGACTTACATATCCTTGACACTGCAGTTAGGTAAGTCAATGAACATGACTGCCTACATCCACTTGTAGAGTCTTCCTTTAACTTAAGACTTGAGGACTTACATATCTCCCCCAGAACCCATGTCAAGCAAGATGAGTGCCTTCCTTGTATCAGTGAATATAACTCATCTAGGATACTGAAATCCACAGTAACATATGCTCCTTTTTAACTGAAGATGATTGCCTTTGTCCATGTGAAGAGTCTATCTTCCCTGGGACATGAAGTCCTACATATCCTCCACACTCCATTTATAAGCCTGGTTAGCTACTGCCTTCCTGTCTGACATTTTCGCAAAAAGCTGTGCTTCAAATCCATTAGATCTATTAACGCCATCCCATCGGTACCCCGGTTGGATTCCATATCTGTTTGGTGGACCAGCTGGTCCCTTGTATCTTGGTAACTCTGTAAGATATAAAGAAACAAAGTTTTAATCAATGATGTTATGGAAGTTAACGTCCTACCAATAAGTTTTTATATGACATATTTTAATAGACAGGTAATCAGTATTGAGATATGTTTCAAATTTCTCCTCTCAACCATTCATGACTTGAAACGTCACAGATCATTAGCACTCTAAGCATATTCAGATGAGTAAGTATGCATATTTTGTTATAACACAATTGGTTGAAAGTTACATAGGAGGTTCTAGTAATAAAAACAAAGTGAGCAGAGGCTCCCATACCACATATCCCCACCTGTAGAGCAGAAAGTAAAAGGACAGCTTTAACCTTAACCAACAGTCATTATATATTAAAATCAAGTTGGACACAAATCTTAAAGGTATAATGCTATGCTGAGAATATGAACCATATCTCTTGTTAAAGGTTATACACTATAGAGCTGCATTCTGGTATTATAAAGAGCCTAGTATTATAACAAGAATCTGTTGAGAAAACTATTGAGATCTAGAATCTATCTTTCAAAATGTGCCCCGGCAAGAAAGTATGTACACTGCCCACTGCTCTGAAATATGTTTCAAAAACATCACATTTGAAGAAGAAATTCCTCAAGATATATTTTGATCAATGCCTATATCAACAATATAACTCAAAAATTTCTGAAAAATATTTGTCAAAGCATTTCCAAAACAATATTATAATCATTAAAAAATAACAAAATGTTAATCAAATGACATAAATGAATTTTCACAATCAAGTTTTCACATAAAGATCATAAAAGTATTAGTGAAGTTAAAGGGAGATAATTGACTACTCAAACTTACAAAGAAATTTTATTACAAAAAAATTATTTTGATATTGTTTAATAAAGATAACAAGAGATCCCTGAGGGATCTTGGTGTCAACCATTGTTTGATCTCTATATACCCTTTGAAAGTTCGATCTTTTCCCTTCTTTTCTCTTCTGGAAATTTGAAATTTGAGAAAGATCTATAGAGGAGTTCTGAAGAAAAAGCGGTAACAAAACTTTCGCAGTCAAAATAAAAAATGGCCACTTGAGGGCCATTTGGTTTTCTCTGATCAGTACCAAAATCAAACATGCAAAACTAGGGATCAAGGATAGCATACACATGAAATTTGAAAAAGATTTTTGCTGTATTTCTCAAAAAATAGTGATAACAAACTTTCAAAGTCAAAATCTAAAAAATCCCAAAACCAAATTGCACATAACAAACTTTCAGTAATAACAAACTTTCAAAGTCACAAGATCACCACCTGTCGGCCATTTTGTTTTTCTAATCACAACTAGGGACAAAGGGGAACTTACATATGAAATATGAGAGATATTCATCCAGTACTTCTTAAGAAATAGTGATAAAACACTTTCAAAGTTAAAATCCAAGATGGCCACCTGTTGGCCATTTTGATTTTCTGATCAGTCCCAAAACTAGATGAGCACAATTAGGGACCAAAAGGAATCTACACATGAAATTTGAGAAAGATCCATCCAATACTTCTCAAGAAATAGTGATAAAAAATTTGTTCACTGACAGACAGACAATGGACAGACGGACAATGGACGGGCAGACAAACCACAGACGCAGAGTAATTTGAATAGCCTACCATCTGATGATGGTGGGCTAAAAAGAGTGAAATTATAACTGACTCCCAACTAACAATATGAAATAAAAAAAAAGAAACAGCAACTTTAAGACAAAATTTAAACATTTTCATGTAGACCCTTTTTCTTGCACAGTTGATATATTTGAGTACAGTTTAGTAATGATATGACAGTCTATATGCTCTGGTGTTCCACTGAGATAGATTTTGTTTCCATGCAGGTAACATAGAGATGACACACTACAAATTACAATCCATATGGGAGGGTATCGACTTACCTGGTATCTTTTTAAGGTTGTAACAAGAATTGATTTGTGTAGTTTAACCCTTAGCTTAGAGGATTCATCGATTTACTTTTTTTTGCAAAGGTTCCTGCCTTATATTCAAACATATGTTTATGTATCAGTGATATTTGATATTTAAACATGGAAGGAGTTTTCAAAATATTGATCAATCTCACAAGATAAATAGGCAGAAGACTTAGCTAGTCTCTTACTAATCAGTCAGGTATGTTATATATCCAGTACAAGCGTGAAAATATGGTAAAATTTCTTAAGTTCTCAAATGTCTTATTTATAGAAATTTCCCACACTCTTCATAAATAACTCTTTTTAAATGTAAATAAATTGCTTCAAATCTTGTCAAACTAACCTTTATCTGTCTCTGAACAGGTTATAGCAAGGCTGATTACCGGTAACTAAAATTCCACAATTTTACATGTCAAAGTAAGTTAGTGTTAATCAAAACATTAAAACCTCATGAAAGGAGCTTTTACATGTAGGAAGGCACAAAAGAAATGTGTATTATCTCTGAAGGGTATGACACAGTGTATTAAATATTACTAACATCACAGCAATTGTAAAAAATAATTTTACACTCATTAGAACCTAAATGGCCACAAATTCATACCACAAAGCATCAGCTTACTGTTTTAGCTGTTTGTGAATTCAGTGGTTACATGTACTGCGTATTAACTATAATATGGTATAAAAAAGTATAAAACAGAGAACTAGTGGGGCACAAAATTAAGATGATTCAGCATATACCCATAAGGATCCAGCTCAGAATAAAACATGTTATCCTACCTTTAACCTTAGCACCTCCTTTCTGTTTTTTCTTTTTTATAAATGCCAACATCGGGTCTCCTTCTCTATCTTGTTCTCGCAGCATACTGTCAAGGTCAGCATCGTCACGGTAACGAGCTAGTGGTTTGCTTATTTCATGTAACTGATCCATCATCATAGATTCCTTCACTTCCTTTTGTTTTAAACTTGGAAATGAAAATAAACAACGATGAACATCATTTCAACATGACATGAATCTCTCAGATATACAGTTTCAAAAAAAAAAAAAAAATTTCAATTTTCCCCTTACAAAGAAACAAAATCTGAGATGTTTTCAAAATATATATATCATCAAACAAGATGTGAAAAATATCTCTAAGAACAGTTTACAGTGGCGGTGTCTTAACATTCATGATTTGTGATTTGATTAGGTCTTGAATGTCAAATTTCCTTTGTGAATATTTCTTTAATCTTAATTATATCCATCTGTTCAAATTCAAAAGTCTTTTTTTTTCAACTTAAACAATTTTTATATATACCCACACAATACACAGACACACCTCAAATTTCAGTATGTTTTTCACATTTCAATCCAGTTTTTATTTCATAATGTTTTATACTGTGATCAAAATTCACATAGTGTTATGTATGATATGTGTTTTATATAGTAACAATTCACATAGTGTTATGTATGATATGTGTTTTATATAGTAACAATTCACATAGTGTGGTGTATGATATGTATTTTATATAGTAACAATTCACATAGTGTGATGTATGATATGTATTTTATATAGTAACAATTCACATAGTGTGGTGTATGATATGTATTTGATATAGTAACAATTGACATAGTGTGGTGTATGATATGTATTTTATATAGTAACAATTCACATAGTGTGGTGCATGATATGTATTTTATATAGTAACAATTCACATAGTGTGGTGCATGATATGTATTTTATATAGTAACAATTCACACTGTGTGGTGCATGATATGTATTTTATATAGTAACAATTCACATAGTGTGGTGTATGATATGTATTTTATATAGTAACAATTCACATAGTGTGGTGCATGATATGTATTTTATATAGTAACAATTCACATAGTGTGGTGCATGATATGTATTTTATATAGTAACAATTCACATAGTGTGGTGCATGATATGTATTTTATATAGTAACAATTCACATAGTGTGGTGTATGATATGTATTTTATATAGTAACAATTCACATAGTGTGGTGCATGATATGTATTTTATATAGTAACAATTCACATAGTGTGGTGTATGATATGTATTTTATATAGTAACAATTCACACTGTGTGGTGTATGATATGTATTTTATATAGTAACAATTCACATAGTGTGGTGTATGATATGTATTTTATATAGTAACAATTCACATAGTGTGTGGATATGTATTTTATATAGTAACAATTCACATAGTGTGGTGTATGATATGTATTTTATATAGTAACAATTCACATAGTGTGGTGCATGATATGTATTTTATGATAGTGTATTTTATATAGTAACAATTCACATAGTGTGGTGCATGATATGTATTTTATATAGTAACAATTCACATAGTGTGGTGCATGATATGTGTTTTATATAGTAACAATTCACATAGTGTGGTGCATGATATGTATTTTATATAGTAACAATTCACATAGTGTGTGCATGATATGTATTTTATATGAGTGTATGTATGTTTTATATAGTAACAATTCACATAGTGTGGTGCATGATATGTATTTTATATAGTAACAATTCACACTGTGTGGTGCATGATATGTATTTTATATAGTAACAATTCACATAGTGTGGTGCATGATATGTGTTTTATATAGTAACAATTCACATAGTGTGGTGCATGATATGTATTTTATATACATGTAGTAACAATTCACATAGTGTGGTGCATGATATGTATTTTATATAGTAACAATTCACATAGTGTGGTGCATGATATGTGTTTTATATAGTAACAATTCACATAGTGTGGTACATGATATGCATTTTATATACATGTAGTAACAATTCACATAGTGTGGTGCATGATATGTATTTTATATAGTAACAATTCACATAGTGTGATGTATGATATGTATTTTATATAGTAACAATTCACATAGTGTGGTGTATGATATGTATTTTATATAGTAACAATTCACATAGTGTGGTGTATGATATGTATTTTATATAGTAACAATTCACACTGTGTGGTGCATGATATGTATTTTATATAGTAACAATTCACACTGTGTGGTGCATGATATGTATTTTATATTATCACATAGTGTGGTGCATGACATGTGTTTTATATTAACACACTGTGTGGTGCATGATATGTATTTTATATAGTAACAATTCACATAGTGTGGTGCATGATATGTATTTTATATAGTAACAATTCACACTGTGTGGTGCATGATATGTATTTTATATAGTAACAATTCACATAGTGTGGTGTATGATATGTATTTTATATAGTAACAATTCACACTGTATGATGTATTATTATATGTATTTTACATTAATTATAACAATACCCTTTGCCCCAGTCCTGATACTTGGCATCCTTGACTGCTTTTAAAGCCCTCTCCTCCGCTGTCTCTTCTTCCTCTTGTGCCAAATTCCTCCGCCTTCCACTCTTCTTGTCCCGAAATACAGTGGCTGCGTCTTTTCCCAACAGCTCTGTACCAATCTATAGTGATATAGAAATATTCTCTAATGTAAATTTGTATGAAAAATATATATATATTAAATAATTTAGACCTATAATGCATCGTTGACCTTTGAACCCTTCCGAATGTGAGGACAGTGCTGCTTACTTCATTGTCAATACTATAACAAATATAATACATATGTCAACAAAATAACTGTTTCAATTATCATCAAGGGTCATAATTCTGATTCTGATCAAAACTGAAAAAGTATGATGCTGTTCTGGGAGACACAAGAACATGTCATCTATTAATTCATCAAAATCTAATCATAGGTAGGTGAAAAATTCCTACCATTTCTGTGACCTTTGATCCTATGACTGTTAGAGCCTGTAAGTAGTGTAGTTTACATCCATGCCTACAATATTCTAATGTACTGATGTGGACAAGATATAAACTGTTTCCAAGATATTTAACCATTAACACAAGGATTGTTTCACTTCGAGGAATCAAGGGCCATAATTCTATAACAAGAGATCCCGAGGGATCTTGGTGCCCACCATTGTTTGATCTTTATTTGCTCTTTGAAAGTTGGATCTTTTACCTTCTTTTCTCTTCTCATCTCTTTTCTGTTTTTACTCTTAATGATAAGACATTTGAACATTCCTTTGCAGAAATTGTGATGATAATCTTTACCTGCCAAATCCAAAATGGCCATCCAGAAGCCATGTTGTTTCTTCTGATCAGTCCCAAAATCAAATAGGCACATGGAGAGACCAAAGTGAACATATGTATGAAATTTGAGAGATATCCATTCAGCACTTCTCATGAAATAGGGATAACAACCTTAACAATGTAAAATACAAGATGGCTGCCTGTCTGCCATTTTTTTTTCTGATCAGTCCCAAATTCAAACAGGGGACTAAGAGGAACCTATACATGAAATTTGAGAAAAAAACTATACAGTACTTCTTAAGAAATTGTGATAACAAACTTTCGAAGTCAAAATCCAAGATGGCTGCTTGTTTTCCATTTTCTATTTTCTGATCAATATCAAAATCAAACAGACACAACTAGCAATCAAGGGAAAGATACACGTGAAATTTGAAAAAGATCTCTGCTGTTGTTCTCAAAAAACTGTTTATGTACGGACATCTGATAATGGTGTACTAAAAATTGATGGAATCAAGGAGACAAAACCTTATGTCATGCATAAAATGTGAGAATGAAACCATTGTATAATCCCTGGGGAAGTAGGTAGTACAAATATATGTTAACTGACAAACATATAAAGAGACATACATGCTGATTAACTGATGGTAGGAGGGCAACAGTTACATTAACTGATGGTAGGAAGTCAACAGTTACATTAACTGATGGTAGGAGGTCAACAGTTACATTAACTGATGGTAGGAGGTCAACAATCACATTAACTAATGGTAGGAGGTCAACAGTTACATTAACTGATGGTAGGAGGTCAACTGTTACATTAACTGATGGTAGGAGGTCAACAGTTACATTAACTGATGGTAGGAGGTCAACAGTTACATTTACTGATGGTAGGAGGTCAACAGTTACATTAACTGATGGTAGGAGGTCAACAGTTACATTAACTGATGGTAGGAGGTCAACAATCACATTAACTGATGGTAGGAGGTCAACTGTTACATTACCTGATGGTAGGAGGTCAACTGTTACATTAACTGATGGTAGGAGGTCAACAGTTACATTAACTGATGGTAGGAGGTCAACAGTTACATTAACTAATGGTAGGAGGTCAACAGTTACATTAACTGAGAGTAGGAGGTCAACAGTTACATTAACTGATGGTAGGAGGTCAACAGTTACATTAACTGATGGTAGGAGGTCAACAGTTACATTAACTGATGGTAGGAGGTCAACAGTTACATTAACTGATGGTAGGAGGTCAACAGTTACATTAACTGATGGTAGGAGGTCAAGTTACAAAATCAAAGTAAATAGAATTTAATTCAATTTGGAAAACAAAATTAAAATTCTTCTTCATTTGAAGCTACTGATTTCTGTGAACATACTGTTTCAGGATTTATTGATAAAGTTGACAAAAGTTGATAGTACTCATGAAACTTGATCCCTTCAATGCCTATACCCAAGGCCATTAAGTTCTTTTATACCAGATAATTGTATCTTAGTTTCAAACAATTGCTTTCAAATATTATGATTTGGTTACCTTTTTAAATGCAGCCTCTTCCTTGGCTTTCATTTTCACCGACTCTTTTTTCATGTCTGCAGCACTAGATAAACCAGCTACCTTTCCAGATAAAGTTCTTTTCATTTTGTCATCAGAGTTTTGTTTTTGTATTCCTACATTATCTCCCTTGCTTGAACAATTTCTTCTTGGTGGTGATTGGTCAGAATCTGAGTCATTTCTCTTTTTTCTCCTTGGAGGTGATTGGTCAGAATCTGAGTCATTTCTCTTTTTTCTCCTTGGAGGTGATTGGTCAGAATCTGAGCCATTTCTCTTTTTTCTCCTTGGAGGTGATTGGTCAGAATCTGAGCCATTTCTCTTTTTTCTTCTTGGTGGTGATTGGTCAGAATCTGAGTCATTTCTCTTTTTTCTCCTTGGAGGTGATTGGTCAGAATCTGAGTCATTTCTCTTTTTTCTCCTTGGAGGTGATTGGTCAGAATCTGAGTCATTTCTCTTTTTTCTCCTTGGTGGCGACTGGTCAGAATCTGAATCATTTCTCTTTTTTCTTCTTGGAGGTGATTGGTCAGAATCTGAGTCATTTCTCTTTTTTCTCCTTGGTGGGGATTGGTCAGAATTGGAGTCATTTCTTTTGTGAGTCCTCAGAGGTGATTGGTCAGAATCAGAATCGTGTCTGCTTCTTCTTTGCAATGACTGCTCAGTTTTGCTTTCTGTCAAAAGAGTTAATTCCAGTCAGAACAAATATTTATCAAACTTTAAGCTAGTAAACCAGAAATATTATTTTTCCTTCCTGTAACAGAAATAATATATAATCTATTTATCACAGCAAACACAAGTCCTGCACATCTGATACAACAGATATAACACACAATAAAATATTGTAAGAGTAAATGATCAAGCAACACCTGTTCCCAACCACACCCACAACATAAATAAAATGTGGAGAGTGACAATAGTTTTTTTCAAGAAGTACGTGCTTAGCAATTAAAATTGTTACATTGGTGCACTCACTAGAGATCAAGGATTTGGATAAAACTGTAGGATCTTTATTTTCACTAACCTAATGTCTTCACATTCACCCAAAATAAATCATATACTCATATGGTGAAAACATTGTAGAATGATTTGATGTCTGCAAGAGAAGCCATTTGTACATTTTCTTCAAACTATTCGTTTTCACAAATTTTTTTATCAAAGCAAAGCATGAAAGCTAAGCATTGTGAATTAAAAACCAAGCCCAATGGACCTGTATTGCTCACCTAGTATCTAGTGTTCCTTACAAATACATTAACATTCATATCATATGTCATTCAATCGCGTGTGCTATTGAATATAATAAGCCTACATATTACACATTAGACCAAACAATTAATGCACAAACAAGACAGATTCACTTTAATGATGACTTAAGGTCAAAGTTCCCATGTCAAAGGACAATGTCATAAAGGTTGCATTTTGTTTCTCTAAACTTTGCAAATCTATTATGGCATTCTAAAGTTGATTTGTTAAGAGTTGAAAGGTCAATGTCACAGGTCAACACTTGTAATTATATATATTCTGAGTGTCAACAAGGTAATCAGTTTGAATAAAGTGTCAGGTTTCATCAAAGAAATTGTCAGAATTTTATAAGAAATTTTACCACTTTGACCATGAATAAGGGTCAAAGTCATATTTTGTAAGGCTACTATACAGAAGATGTTGTTTGAAGGATTTAACAAATTTAACCCCTGTGACCTTCATTATGGATCAACCCCTGTGACCTTCATTATGGATCAAGGTCATTTCTTTTTGCAAACTTTGTGTGGTGTATCCTAGCAACCTATATGCTAATTATTATGCCTATTACCCTTTTGGTAAATGAGAAGCAGTCATTGAATTTTTTTTAAATTTTACCCCTGCGACCTTGAATATGGGTGAAGGTCACTTCTTCCATGGAACCTACCGGTCAAATATCATGCCTCTAGGTCTTTTTGTTCATAAGAAGAAGTCACTTATATGTTTTAACAAATCTGATCCCTGTGACCTGTAATATGAGCCAAGGTCATTTCTTTTCGTAACTTTTCTTGGGTTTCATCCTAGCAATTTATGAGACAATACCATGCCTCTAGACCATTAGGTAAATAAGTAGAAGTCATTTAAATGTTTTTACAAATTGGACCCATAAGACCTTCATTATTTCTTTTTGCAGTTTTTGTCGTGCTTCATCCTAGGAATATTCCAGCCAAATATCTTGCCTCTAGGCTTCATGGTTGTTGAGGAGAAGTTGTTTAAAAGGGAAAAGTTGATGTCAGATGGGCGACGGGCGAAGGATACTGTACGTGTTCAGGCTAGGTTAGCTAAACATAGATAATTACCACTGATTTAAATATGTTGCTTTATAGTAATGACGATCCTTATATTATTCTGAATCTATGTGTAAAGTACAGTTCTGCCAATTTTGGTAAATCAATGGTTAATTTCAAAGAGAGGGTCAATTTTTTCCACTGAGTATCTGATTCTGAAGTAAATGAAACAACATGTTTGAGATTTGTAGTATGTTTGAATTCTATGTCTGGGTCACCTTGATAAAAAGCCAAGCAAGTGTTTAAATAATCATGCCTGGTTTTCACATTGATAGTAAAGAACTTGAAATTTGATTAGACTGGTTTAATCCTCTGGTATTGACCCTCATGCTGTTGACAAGATGTCAAAAGTTGTTCCAGTCTATGAGGTCACTACTGACATCCTGTGGTAAATTCATCTGAAGAAGCCAAACTAGAACTTTGTCATGAAGGGGCAAACTTATACCCTAACCCCAACAGAGTTAATTGTAGAATAATAAAATGGTATTTAATTTTGGTGACATGACGTATATAGCCAGCAAGTATAGTTAAAATAAATTCAGTAGTTTAGGAGGATTAGCTTGTACATTGTTGTGTCTACAACTGAGGAACAGACAGACAATCTAATCCCAGTATCCCTGCTCACCTAACTTTGTGAAGTGGTGGGTTGTTGGGTAAGGGGGCATAATCAGCAACTGGATGTGGGAATCACTATAGGGTTTAACTGTGTAATTTCAATTTTACAAAGGAGTATCAGAGTTCACAAAAATAAATCACTGCATAATTGTTATGTTACTAAAATCGCAAAACGTAGTACATATATCAGGTAGTTGTGAAAGGAAGTTGGTTTATAGTATTACATTCAAAGCACTCACATGCTAATTGTGAGACAAATTAACTATCTTGGGTGACAAATTCTGGATTTTTTTTTTCAATTTACTTTTTACAGCTGTTTGGTTTATCACCTGTATTTCTTTCTCTTTTTTTTTGTGAAAATATTAATGCAAGTGATCGCAGAAATTGAGGAAAACTCACTTCATTTAATTGATTGGTAACTTGGGAAAACTCACTATGTTCGAAAGATAACTCCAGAAACACAGAAAACCCACTTTATTGGAAATGTGACCCCAGAAACATGGATCAGACAGCCCACTTTGTAGGCAGTGACCAAAGAAACTTAAAAAAAACATCTTTGTTGGAAATGTGACTCTAGAAATTCAGAAAAAAAACATCTTTGTTGGAAAGGTGACGCCAGATTCTTAAATAACACATTTTGTCGAAAAGATGACCCCAGATTCTAAAATAACACATTTTGTTGGAAAGGTGATCCCATACCTGTCTTAATTTGATCAAGATATTGAAAGCGGGCTGCTTAGGTAAAATGAGAGTGTGGTACTGTTGTTTGACCAGTTGTACACCATCATGCCTAACATAATCCAAATGAAAGATTCCTGTTAACATTACACATTAAAATTTTACCATTTACATAATCCTGATTACGATTCATCATAGAGACAGTAACCATACCATTTTCTGTCCTGTTCATTAGTCTCCATTTGCCTTCTGAGTCCCTGTAGGACTCGAGTCGTTTCACATGATCAGGGCGTTCATCTATAATCTCAGCAACTGTTGGGTCATCATCACCAACATCCTCGTCCAGCGTATTTTCTAAATTCCCTGGCAGTGTTGTCTTAAAGTCAATATCATCATCAACAATCCTGGAACTAAAGAATGTTTTAGACCTGTAAACTAGCCAGATGGACAGTTTATCTTATGGAATTTGTTTACAAATACTCTTTCAGGTACATGTAGGATAAAGATGTTATCACACTGATGTCACTTAGAAGTTGCACTATGTGTTGATGTTAGTGTTGCTCAACAGACCCATCATGAGACTTTACATATAGTGCCCATGAACCCAGAACACCACTAGTTTAGGGTTAATATCTACTTAATACATCAGTGTGTAGGAGACCTGTTATGTAGTACATGTAGGAAATGATGAAATAAGATGGTGTAGTGAACATTTAAAACCCTAGAAAAGGTCACATAATTTGGTGTTTTTTTTTTTTAATATCCAGGAATCCTAACTATTGATCACGACCAAAACAAAAATAAAATGCCAGATAGAGAGTTCAATCATTTCAATTAGTATCAACAAAAACATGCTGAGAACCTCATCCAAATATGTAACCCTTGTGTTTCTAATACATACAGTAAATGGTGTATTTCCATATACCAAAGCAATGACTCAAGGAACTAACTAGCCAGTATATATAGGCCAAGCCAATTTTTTGCAAAAAGTGAAATCTGGTACAGTATTCAAATGATATGAAAAAGGCACTGCCTAGGAACGAGCACAAAATTTAGCTTGCATTTTCATGTCACTTTAAAACTGTACCAGATTTCATTTTCAGCAATGATTCTGCTAGGTTTCAGCTAACAAGTTGTAAACAGATAAAAATGCGGCTCACAAACTTGGTGACCTCTGACATTTGCAAAAATTACAGTAAACAAATAGCAGTCTTTGTGTATTAAAATACGAATATAGCCCCAATGAATATCTTAGGTTATGGGATTTTTTTTCTCAGCACTGACATAACAGCTTTTAGTGTTACATCAATGAACTATGGGCGATAGTATTCTGGTCTTATTCAACTGTTCAATAGGTAGGGCACAATCCCTCATATAAGTAATCGTCCTGCGTTTGAGGGACAGTTACAGCAATCTGTTACTTACACAAATACAGGGTCATTATCAAATAAAAGCAGTTTGTTTAAAATATTGAAGCAAAAAATGGTATCATCTTTTTAACATGATCCAATAGCCAATTAGACCATATATATAACTGCATAGTAAATATTCATTTCTGTTGTCTAACATTAAGTCAAAATGACAATTTATATCAATGACTTCTCTAACGACTAATGTATAGCCAGTGGCAGCATTGAGTGCAAATGTCATAGGTGAGCATGAATTCAACTGTGTTCTATTTTAGTCACACTATAAGCAGTTGACAAAAAATACAGGTGATAAAGTTTGTTTTTACAAAAAGCGAGACAACTTATGAAATGTATAATGTTGCATTGGTTATTGTGTCATGTCAAAAAATGACGCCATTTGTTGATGTAAATGTTTAAAAAAAATCACTATGTGTTTATATTTCAAATGACCCTGCATTTGAGTATCTTGTTGATTACTAAAAGCGGTAATTATTCTCCCAACACAGGACTATGCCTATGTGAAGGATTGCGTCCAATCTATTCAAGTTATTGATAGAACGACATACATCAAGAATATATAACTATATTGAAAATAGCATATATGTACCGAGGAGCTATTGCAGCTGATTTGGGTTTCTTTTTCTTTCTCTTCTTTTTCTCGTCAGTAGCATCAGATAGATAACGTTTCAAATAGTCTGCTTTGCTCAGGCTGATTGCCGCTCCGGCTCCTGCCATTTCTCGAACTTTGTTTATCGCGGAAACGCTTGAAAATATCAGGGTCACTCACAAGCGGTGATACTAATTACGGCCCGGTACCGCCCGGTACATTCAAGACTACCAAGTGCTGCCCAGGAACTATATCTTAACCGCTCGGGCTTTAATTTGCAATTATTTCACGTTATATGAAAAGAAAGGACTAACCAGATAAATATAGTAGTCGGAAAATGGTGCAAAGCTATCAGAAAATTGTCCTCATAATGGGTATTAGAAATCAGAGATATCGCAACGCAACACATTGCTATTTGCCATGCCGGGACCACATATTTATCCTGCAAATGGCACTGCCAATGTCGAAACACACCTGCAACATATATTTTTGCTGTTTTGGGCAATGACGGAAAACATCTGTATTTCAGCACGTGTGGTCGAAAGGATTACACTCTGAATTTACTTAATTATTACGTTTAGAAATATGAATAGTTGTTGAAACAAGTGATTTTATATGTTGTAATGAACAAGTTGATCTATGAAAATTCATCAAATCGCTGTTATATCCGATGACGTTTGGAACTATATTTCCGTACGGAGCAATTACATTTCCTTCCGTCATCAGGCAAAATCCAGCGTAGCATCAACATCATGTAAATACAGATTGAACAACAAAACGGTTTCAATTTCAATAGTCTGAATTTCAATCAGTGTTGCGGGATAAGTAGAATACATGGTCAGTGTCTTCAGATATTAGCCAAAGTGGCTGGCCAGAAGCTCGTTGCCACTTTTGTCTTCCTTCACCATCGCCGAAATACATTTTATATTTGAAGATACTGGCCATCTATTCTCTATATATTATATCTCATTCATTGTAGTGTCCATATAATTCTAGAAGTTGCTCCGGTCAATAGTTTAGCATATCAGGCCGGGAGTCAATGTCAGCCGGCTGACGCCATATATTGTATTGTGACGTCATTATAAGATAATGAGTTATTTCCCTTTTTATACTAATAACTTGAAAGTTCCAACATGTAGCCAGCGGTATCTCCGTGAATTAAATTTTAGTTGATAGTAAGGTTATTATATTTTTAAATTGTTATATTGCATAATGTGAATACGATACGATTGGAATAAAATATATAATAGATATTTGAACGTTTATAATTCTACACGTGGAGGTTAATGACGTTGTATGTATCTAATAAAGGTTTATTATTCTACACGTGGAGGTTAATGACGTTGTGTCTAATAAAGGCTTATTATTCTACATGTTGAGGTTAATGACGTTGTATCTAATAAAGGTTTATAATTCTACATGTGGAGGTTAATGACGTTGTATGTATCTAATAAAGGTTTATTATTCTACACGTGGAGGTTAATGACGTTGTGTCTAATAAAGGCTTATTATTCTACATGTTGAGGTTAATGACGTTGTATCTAATAAAGGTTTATAATTCTACACGTGGAGATTAATGACGTTGTATCTAATAAAGGTTTATAATTCTACATGTGGAGGTTAATGACGTTGTATGTATCTAATTAAGGTTTATTATTCTACACGTGGAGATTAATGACGTTGTATCTAATAAAGGTTTATAATTCTACATGTGGAGGTTAATGACGGTGTATCTAATAAAGGTTTATAATTCTACATGTGGAGGTTAATGACGTTGTATGTATCTAATAAAGGTTTATTATTCTACACGTGGAGATTAATGACGTTGTATCTAATAAAGGTTTATAATTCTACATGTGGAGGTTAATGACGGTGTATGTATTCAGTGAACTTTTATTATTCTACATGTGGAGATTAATGACGTTGTATCTAATAAAGGTTTATTATTCTACATGTGGAGATTAATGACGTTGTATCTAATAAAGGTTTATAATTCTACATGTGGAGGTTAATGACGTTGTATGTATTCAGTGAACGTTTATAATTCTACATGTGGAGGTTAATGACGTTGTATCTAATAAAGGTTTATAATTCTACATGTGGAGGTTAATGACGTTGTATCTAATAAAGGGTTATTATTGTACATGTGGAGGTAATGACGTTGTATCTAATAAAGGTTTATTATTCTACATGTTGAGGTTAATGACGTTGTATGTATTCAGTGAACATTTATCATTCTACACGTGGAGGTTAATGACGTTGTATCTAATAAAGGTTTATTATTCTACACGTGGAGATTAATGACGTTGTATCTAATAAAGGTTTATAATTCTACATGTGGAGATTAATGACGTTGTATCTAATAAAGGTTTATAATTCTACATGTGGAGATTAATGACGTTGTATCTAATAAAGGTTTATAATTCTACACGTGGAGATTAATGACGTTGTATCTAATAAAGGTTTATAATTCTACATGTGGAGATTAATGACGTTGTATGTATCTAATAAAGGTTTATAATTCTACATGTGGAGATTAATGACGTTGTATCTAATAAAGGTTTATTATTCTACATGTGGAGATTAATGACGTTGTATGTATCTAATAAAGGTTTATTATTGTACATGTGGAGATTAATGACGTTGTATCTAATAAAGGTTTATAATTCTACATGTGGAGATTAATGACGTTGTATCTAATAAAGGTTTATAATTCTACATGTGGAGATTAATGACGTTGTATCTAATAAAGGTTTATAATTCTACATGTGGAGATTAAAGACGTTGTATGTATCTAATAAAGGTTTGTTATTCTACACGTGGAGGTTAATGACGTTGTATCTAATAAAGGTTTATTATTGTACATGTGGAGGTAATGACGTTGTATGTATCTAATAAAGGTTTATAATTCTACATGTGGAGGTAATGACGTTGTATCTAATAAAGGTTTATTATTCTACATGTGGAGATTAATGACGTTGTATCTAATAAAGGTTTATTATTGTACATGTGGAGATTAATGACGTTGTATGTATCTAATAAAGGTTTATTATTCTACACGTGGAGGTTAATGACATTGTATGTATCTAATAAAGGTTTATAATTCTACATGTGGAGATTAATGACGTTGTATGTATTCAGTGAACATTTATTATTCTACACGTGGAGGTTAATGACGTTGTATGTATCTAATAAAGGTTTATAATTCTACATGTGGAGATTAATGACGTTGTATCTAATAAAGGTTTATTATTCTACATGTGGAGATTAATGACGTTGTATCTAATAAAGGTTTATTATTCTACACGTGGAGGTTAATGACGTTGTATGTATCTAATAAAGGTTTATAATTCTACATGTGGAGATTAATGACGTTGTATCTAATAAAGGTTTATAATTCTACATGTGGAGATTAATGACGTTGTATCTAATAAAGGTTTATTATTGTACATGTGGAGGTAATGACGTTGTATGTATCTAATAAAGGTTTATAATTCTATATGTGGAGGTAATGACGTTGTATGTATCTAATAAAGGTTTGTTATTCTACATGTGGAGGTTAATGACGTTGTATGTATCTAATAAAGGTTTATTATTCTACATGTGGAGGTTAATGACGTTGTATGTATCTAATAAAGGTTTATTATTCTACATGTGGAGGTTAATGACGTTGTATCTAATAAAGGTTTATTATTCTACATGTGGAGATTAATGACGTTGTATCTAATAAAGGTTTATTATTGTACATGTGGAGATTAATGACGTTGTATCTAATAAAGGTTTATTATTGTACATGTGGAGGTTAATGACGTTGTATGTATTCAGTGAACGTTTATAATTCTACATGTGGAGATTAATGACGTTGTATGTATCTAATAAAGGTTTATTATTCTACATGTGGAGATTAATGACGTTGTATCTAATAAAGGTTTATTATTCTACATGTGGAGATTAATGACGTTGTATCTAATAAAGGTTTATTATTCTACATGTGGAGATTAATGACGTTGTATGTATCTAATAAAGGTTTATAATTCTACATGTGGAGATTAATGACGTTGTATCTAATAAAGGTTTATAATTCTACATGTGGAGATTAATGACGTTGTATCTAATAAAGGTTTATTATTGTACATGTGGAGGTAATGACGTTGTATGTATCTAATAAAGGTTTATAATTCTATATGTGGAGGTAATGACGTTGTATGTATCTAATAAAGGTTTGTTATTCTACATGTGGAGGTTAATGACGTTGTATGTATCTAATAAAGGTTTATTATTCTACATGTGGAGGTTAATGACGTTGTATGTATCTAATAAAGGTTTATTATTCTACATGTGGAGGTTAATGACGTTGTATCTAATAAAGGTTTATTATTCTACATGTGGAGGTTAATGACGTTGTATCTAATAAAGGTTTATTATTCTACATGTGGAGGTTAATGACGTTGTATCTAATAAAGGTTTATTATTGTACATGTGGAGGTTAATGCGTTGTATGTATTAAGATGCGTCACAAGCTATCGCTCTATTAATGTATTTTTCTACATAAGATATATCTCAATTACAGATCTGGCGTCATATAATTTGTTTGCATCCCTATTATAAAAGTAACCAGATAGTTTTTTTCTATCATACAGGTATCTCCACTATATTAATGGTATCCCCAGCTCCTCTTCTCATTTTTTATTTCTTTACATGACAAATATGTTTAGATAGGGATTAAAGTCCTTTCCGTTTAAGCAATGTCAGTTTTAACAGGTAAATTTACCTGTGATTTAGTATACCACAGAAAAAAAGGTGAACCTAGTTCTCTATATATCTTACATTTCATAATTAAATTACCTTCATTATCTAAGATTGTATTATGTATGAATGTGTACAAAATTTGAATATCAGGTATGAAGCCAAATTATCAACGACTAAGTTCTAAAATGTATTATACAGAGTTATTTCAAATCAAATCTTTTTTATACAGACATGTGATATACATATGTTTGTGTGAAGCTAGAGTTGGTTATGATCAGATTATACTTACAGTAATCTTTAATTTCATACATTATTATATAGTAAAAGACGAAATCTCAAAACATAGACAAATATAGAATGCCATTGTCGTCAGCTATACGAAAGTTGTCACTTATAAATGTCGGTGAGCAGTGAATAAATAAAACTTATCTGAAATTCTGCTTACCATCAGAGACGCATGTAACATATTTTACAAATCGGCATATTTTAAAACTAAAAGCATCATGCATGTATCAACGGATGAAAGTCACTTACAAAATCGTTATTGGTCTAGGGGAGACAACTACATCATTTCATAAAAAATACATCGTGTCAGTATGAATCGTCATCTAAACTCAAGCCCTATGTATCTAGGGCAAAATAATAACAAATTAACGAGAGCTACAGAATAGAAATTTCTCTTCAGAATTAATCCCAAAATTTCCGAAAGATGATGGAACAATGATTACTAAACAAGACAAATTTTAGAGAATATTAAAGAGTTTTATGAAAATCTATATCAAGATATATCGAGATAATAAAAAGCTTACATGACATTGACCTTGAAACTTGTCTTAATTTTAATAAATACCCAAACTCACAGAGTATCAAAATCATCTCTCTCAAAGAAGCAAGTATGTTTTCGAAAAATGTTAACAATAATAAAAGCCCAGGATCTGATGGATTCGGTGTGGAATTTTCATTTTTTTTTTTAGAATAGAATTTGTAAATTTGTAGTAAGATCACTAAATTTTGGCTTTTTAAAAGGCGAACTTTCCGTAACATTACAATTGAAACTTGTGTCTCGAAATCGGTTGAGTCGAAATTACGTTTGAGTCGAAATAATTTTCAAGTCCCGAGTTTTTTCTTTCTATTTCTTTGTAATTTTAGTTCGGATGACTCGAAATTCATTGAGTCGAAATTTCGGTTGAGTCGAAGCGATTTTCAGTCTCTTCAACTATCAAGCAAGGGGAAAGTCATTCTTTGTCTCGAAATTATTTTTTGTGAAAACATTGGCACATCTTCTGAAGAAATCTGTTAATAAATACACATAGTAGACAGTCACCTGCGCGTAACACATGACTAATTACAGAGTAACAGTGGTTCATCATACACGCAACACTTGGTCTCTGGCGAGATTCATTACACGTTTATTTATCCAATTAAAGGTTTGCTTCTTAATTAGTGTCACAGTGACTTACCTGCACGTTAAAAAAGTAGCGCGTTTACAAAAACATGAATACATTTAGCTTGGTTGCGTGCTTCTTCATGAAAGAAAAAAATCGAAACCGTTAAATTAGTACGAACTTTTTGACGAAATCAAATCCCCATAATTACGAGAGAAACTAATTTTGAGCTTGTTAACTAAAGTACTAAGATCGGTGACTTTGTCAGATTTATTAGTGTTTGGACAATGAAGTGCTGAAAGTATTTTTCATAGATAGAGTCTATATCTGTGCGTGATTCGTTAAGTCTAGTATTTGTACAATGTTTTCTCTAACAGATAAAACCTTTCTAATGCCGCGTTTTTCATATGTTTATTTATTCATAATAAAGTCATATTGATATGATCTGTAGCTTCATACATCGTTTCTTGTAGCGTATCAAAAGCAAATTTTAATTTCGTTTTATTGTCATTCCGTAAAATATATGACGTATATGTGCTTGGTTAGTAAGGGTATTGTACACGTGTGCGGAACGTAACGACGTGAGTACAAATATATTTGATTGGAGTTGTTATTACGTGATTTGGATGAATAAACAATAAAAAAAGAAAGTAAAATTAAATTTATTTGTTTATGTACTGCCATTTCAAATAAAATAAAATAAAAGGCTCCAAATATAATCACTGAATATATCTATAAAATAGCATCAGGGGTTATCGCATTAAGAAAAAAGGTTCTTAATAAAGTTATTACTTATGATCAGACTGGGTGTTTATCAGAAAAGTATATTGGGGAGAATACACGTTTGTTATATGATATGAAATTATAGAAACTGATATACCTGGTATGATTATGATGATAGATTGTGAAAAACATTCGATTCTGTAACTTGGAATTATCTTAGAAAACTTTTGAAATTAATCGGTTTTGGTAATGATATTTTAAGTTGGTTTAATACATTACATAACATTACATAACATCTGCAATTAACCAAGGAGGGAACTTATTGTGGTTTTTTATCGAAATTAAAAGATCTTCTCGTCAAGGTGACCAAAATGCCCCTATATCTTTATCATGTGTGCAGAAATTTTAGCTCTATGTTTGAAGGAATCAAGACACAGAATTTTGAAACTCTAATATTTCAATATGCAGACGATACATTTCTTGCGCTAGATGGATCAGAGAAGTCACTCTATGAAATTGTCATTGAACAGATTTGCAAATATATCCGGCTTAAAAATAAATGCTGATCAAACTAAAATAATTTGGATCAGTAGAAAGAAATACAATAAGTATAAAATGCTTCCAGATTTTAATCTGCAGTAAGGAAAAATAAATTTACTCTACTTGTTATAGAATTTGATGTAAACTTAAACACCATTCCCAAACTGAATTTTCATCAAACAAAATGTAAAATCTAAAGACTAATCAATGTCTGGAAAAAACGAGAATTACTCCTAGTGGTCAGATACATATTGTTTAATCATTATTGATGTCAATCATTTGCTTACATCCCTTCTAAATCCCAGTGAAAGGGTGATTAAAGAAATTAATTCTATATCTTTGGAATTTTTATGGAATAGTAAAACAGATAGAATTAAAAGAAATTTTGTTGTTAAAAATATAATTATGGTCGATTGAATATGGTTAATTTGAATGCCTTTATTAAAGCTCTTAAACTGGGGTAAGAAAACAACACAGCGGAAGGCAGAGGTGATCAATAATATGTTGATATACAAGGCACTTAGACGAGGGGAATATAGTTTCAGTCTTCTTTACAAATTAACTACCATGTTTTACTGAAACCAAATATGGCCAATAACGTGATTTACATCGTACATGTTAATCATGTAATGTGTACCGATTTAATCATAGTCAGTATCGTTTGTAAATGTGTCGGAGTGTATTTATAACAATATTTGTCTCTCCTAAACACTAATCTTTATTATAATTATTTATAACAATATCTGTTCCTCCTAAACACTGATCTTTATTATAATTATTTATAACAATATCTGTCCCTCCTAAACACTGATCTTTATTATAATTATTTATAACAATATCTGTCCCTCCTAAACACTGATCTTTATTATAATCATTTATAACAATATCTGTCCCTTTATCTTTATTAGAATTATTTATAACAATATCTGTCCCTCCTAAACACTGATTTTATTAGAATTATTTATAACAATATCTGTCTCTCCTAAACACTGATCTTTATTATAATTATCTATAACAATATCTGTCCCTCCTAAACACTGATCTTTATTAGAATTATTTATAACAATATCTGTCCCTCCTAAACACTAATCTTTATTATAATTATTTATAACAATATCTGTCCCCCCTAAACACTTATCTTTATTATAATTATTTATAACAATATCTGTCCCTCCTAAACACTGATCTTTATTATAATCATTTCTAACAATATCTGTCCCTCCTAAACACTAATCTTTATTATAATTATTTATAACAATATCTGTCCCTCCTAAACACTAATCTTTATTATAATCATTTCTAACAATATCTGTCCCTCCTAAACACTGATCTTTATTATAATTATTTATAACAATATCTGTCCCTCCTAAACACTATCTTTATTATTCTTAACAATATCTGTCCCTCCTAAACACTGATCTTTATTATAATTATTTATAACAATATCTGTCCCTCCTAATTAAACACTGATTTCTATTATAATTATTTATAACAGTATCTGTCTTCCTTCACTCCGATCTTTATTTTAATCATAACAATCATATTTGTAATTGATATATCTTAAGTAAATTAGTTTTAGCGGGAGAAATAATTTTGAAAAAGACTGAATATAAAGATAAGAGAGAGTAAGAAATCGAATATTGATTTCTATTCATAATCTGAATTCCTAGACCTGTTAATTCAAATTAGATCTCTTAGATAATAATAACAATAATTCACTGCAATAAAAGCCGTTTTTGTGTAACTACAGAAATTAAACTCCAGATTAATATGTTTTACATTAAAAACTGTACATCAAATGCGGTTATCGCAATGAAATCGTATGTATGGATTCCGTAATCCATGTCACCACCATTTGTAAATGGGTCGGCGAATAATGGAAACACTGTACACATATGAGATATCCTAGCCAGGCATGTGTAGTTTCTGTTTCCATTCAGACATACATACATACATGTAATATACATGGATAAACACACGGAATGCAGACCTAGTTTTCAATCTTCTAATAATTTCTTCGACACTTTGACAATAACAATTAATTTCAAACTTTACGAATTCACACAATTAGTCCAGTCATGTGGTGTTCCGTTGTGTTCACATTTGTTACCAAACAAATCCAATCGACGAGAGATGTACTTAGCAGGTTGATATCTGAATTGAGTCAACATCGTGTGTTATGACGTTCTTACCATCTCGTTTAGTGCAAGATGGGAAATCGAGATAATAACCTTTCCTCTATATCAGTCAGGCTAAAAGACTTTACTGTATGTGATCTTGATATAAAGTCTGTCAGTCAATAATCGATGTTCTCATCAAATCATATTAACTATATGACCACACTGATATTACATCTATGATTTTTTTTTGTGGTAACGAAAAATATTGATCAATGAAACTGTAGCTATGCATTGTACAACGTGTTTATATTTATTTGTATTGTAGTATCTTAATTCTTCTGTCCCTGTGTCCGATCCAGAAGGTACCGTCCTCGTGTAGACTGATACACAAAGGTTCTACTCCGTCAGATGTATAAACAGTCCTCATACAGCGTCCAGTGTTCCTGTCAATCAGTAGTACTGACTTGGTGACCAATTCCGCTACAAGGACATCACCAGCTCCATCAAAACAAACATCAAACGGATAAAACTTTGATGACTGAGTAGAACTTCGGTTTGGATTGGTCGTACCGATGTCTTTACAGTGAAACTTTAGGTTGAGGTGTTTATCCATCACGATGACGTACGATTGTTTGTCTGGTTCCTCACCAGCCATGTAGTTATTATACCGCACGCCTTCATTGTCAACAACAGCTACGTCACCGGTCTGTTTACATGACATCATGTGATGAGGAAATACTGCCACCTGTCTACAAGGACCTCCCGCTCTAGATGATACCGCCCGTCCGTCTGTAGTGAACAGCTGTATTCCTCCATCCATCCCCACTAATACCATGTCATCACTGGTGATACAAAGAGAATATGGCGTGTCGGTGACGTCAAATCGTTTAACAATATCACCACCTGTCGTGATTTCCCGGATACTTCTGTCATCACGCACACAGAACCACACCCTGCCCGTGGTCGGGGATACAGATATCGATTGGACTTTGACCTTACACTGTATCTTCTCCTTCATTGTGCCTTTAGTATCCACTCGGTACACACTATCACTATCCCAGTACGATAACCACGCCTCGTCACCAGTAAGACCTGTACGACATACATCGTAATGAAATGACGTCTTGAAATCGTCAAGAACCACGGGAGTTGGTATCGGTTTGTACGACTGATCCTCTCCGTCGACTAGTATCTTACCGAACATATGTTCCAACAGTTCAGTAGATATGCTTCCGGGTTTGAATTCCACTGTCTGTAATCTACCTGGAGTAGGTGGATCAGTGGCGGTATTCCTGATTTCCCGCACTAACGTTGTGACGTCAGCTGTTATCCCTGATGCCAGTATTTGTTGACATCTATCCAGTTTCGGTTTCAAGTCTTCTCTAAGATATCTGTTTAATTCTGCTTTATTTTTCTCAGAAGTACTCGCATTTAATTTTTCCAACTCGGTACACATGTTCACTAACATATCGATATTTCTGTCGATATCGTCTTTCATTTTTTCCCCCTGACGTTTAATGTCTCTGATAACTGCCTGATATTGTCCTCCGTTTGTCTCATTCTCCCGAATATCTTCCTCAACTTTCGGAATGTCGACCTTGGAGAGTTTGTCAACATACTGTTGTATTTCCCGTTTCTGGCTCGTCACGTATTCAGTAAGTTTTCCAAATGTGTGACCATTGTGAATGTCTGTAACACACTCCATACAAATCAGCTGATCGTCACACGATTTACAGACGTAAATAAATCCCATCCCTTGATGGCGGGTACAACCAGGTACTGCCGTCTGTGTCGCCATGTTGTCATGAGTGACAGCGGAGGACTTTATAGTCCTGTCAAAAGTTTGTCAATATGGCGGCTGTTCTCCAAAATATTTAGAAAAGTCGTCTTCCGGGAATCTGACAACATATTCTATTTAAGGTAACAAGGAAGTATCATGTACTTTTATCAAATTTGGTCACATGCACATACTGGTGTCACGAGGGAGAATTCAGATATCTTTCCAGTAAGCAAGAGACACGGCAATAATTTATTACATGTCCGATTTTACTCGATAACAGGTTGATAGTGTGATCAAAAAAATCCTAGTAGAGAGGATGTTTTGTTTAATAGTATATTTAAGTCGGTTTGATTCAGTTTCTTCGCAGCACATGGATTTAAACAAAGAGTCAGTACGAATTAGACAGGATTCATTAGTGAATTTAGAATTAGCTAATGATTATATCCAATAATATACTCTAAGTTATTGTCAATAATCGAGATTCATTAATTGATCTAATCATTTCAAATCAGTATAGATTTAAGACATTTAAGATATGGTTGGCACAAAATGGTCAGTATGAAGCTCTAATTAGGTATCTTGTAAAAAAATGTGAGAGCACATATCTTCTTATTAACGTTTTAGTTCAGTTAAACAAGTATACTGTGTATTTCAGGGAATGAAGTTTGTGTTTAAACTGGGAACGTTCTATCCTATCACCTGTTACGGTCATTTAAGGACGCTCTCTCTATGTATGCGAGTTGTGTGGATTTTTGAATGTTTATGATCATATAAGGCCTGCCTCCCTTACGTGCATCTTTCTTTGGGAGGCTGAGTTATGTTCGTGTAAGGCATCTCGGAATTATACAGGACTGAGACCGATTTTATTGTTCTACCAATTTTCTTAATCAATTAGGAACTGACTTTCGATTTTTTTTCTTTCTATCCAGCATTCGTCCTTTTTATCCATCATATGTAAATTAACAATACTGAAATTTCCTCTCGCTCTCTACAAATTTAAATGCGAGTTACCTCCCTTCCTTCACCGTAGCTTGTTCTAAATTCGGTGGCAAATTTACAGCAATTTAACTTATTTATCCTCACATTGGTTACTTTAGTTAATGGTAAAGAAAAACATTCCGTCTGATGTTATTTCTAATGGAATTATGTTTGACAAACTAAAAACTTAATATGTTTTGGCATTTTAAAAACAGTAACCAAAAAAATTCATCCGAAAATTTTATTTATCGTTTCAAAGCATTCTAAGTTCGGAATTTCAATCCAAAACTATAAGTGAAATTTACATTAAATAAACAAAAATGTGTCATTTTCTTTTTTCTTTTTAAAAAATCCTGAAAATGTGTTGACGATCTTAACAGTCCAATGATTAATGATATTGAAAAACACAATAAACTAAAACTTTTCACTGAAGAACTACATGAACATATTGATTGATGGGGGTGGAGGCATTGTAGTCGCTGAACCTGATACTGAAATTAATGTAACTATGTACACAGTATCAACAAAACACACAGCAGACTAGGACTGATGGTTTGGAAAAAACCCAAAATATGGTCCACCAATACAAACCAAAGTACTTGTTAAATCAGTAATGTATGCAATATACATCAATATAAACAAAAGCGTGTACCCGAAGAGTGTATTGCAACACTGCAAAGTTTCAAATGTGTTCACTTTTTATATTTTTATTCATTTTTTCATCAACAAGTGTAAAAGTCCTGGTGTCTGCCACCAGCCTAGCTTCTTATAGTGATTTTTGTTCGCACAGCTCTGTGGTTCCGTCTCGGCTTAAAGCTGGCTACACATCAATGAATAAAAGCTTGTGTGATCAAGTTCAACATTTTATTATGTACACGATGCCACAGGGATGAGAAGATTAAATGTGATGAAAAAATATGCAGAACAGGAATACAATCTCACCGTACGCCCCTTAACTCCTGACAAACAATGACCACACTAATAAATAACATAACTAATTTCTACTTAGTAAAGACTTGTAAACTTAAACAACATTCCCAAACTGAATTTTGACTTTAAAAAAATGTAAAATCACAATAACTAATAAATGCCTTGACAAAAGAAAATAAACTCCTATTGGTAAGATTCATATTATTAAATCATTATTGATATCAATCATTTGTTTATATCCCTTCTAAATCTCAGTGAAAAGGTGATTAAAGAAATTCATTCCATACTTCTTGAATTTTTGTGGAATAGTAAAACAGATAAAATTAAAAGAAATGCTGTTGTTCAAAAGTATGATGATGGTTGATTGAAGATGGATAATTTGAATGTTTTTATTGATGCTCGAAAACTGCGGTGGGTAAGGAGACTATACAGCGGTGAGGTAAATTGTAAATTCATTTTGAAAGACCAAATCGATTTGGATGTATTGATGAATTGGTGATGAATATATAACAGAATGTAGTAATATATGTTCTAACAACTTTTGGAAAGATGTGTTTAAATCTTGGTATGAATTGAATAATTCAAAAGAAATTGGGGAACTTGATGAAAGATCACTGTTAACCCCAAATATCTGGCATAACAAAAATATTACTATTGCAGGTAAATCAGTCTTCCATCAATCATGATATAAGTCAGGAATACACACTGTTTCAGATCGGATAAAAAATACAAATAACTTTTCCTTTTATACCTTTGAAGAACTTTCAGAAAAATACTAATTTTCTTCAAGTTAATGGATGAATATCTGCGAAAATGAGGATGACAGCTATGCTAAACTGCTGTCCCAGCCAAATTTACACTAAAAAGGTTTTACAAGGGCGTTCGCATTACGGAAAAGTCTTTAAAATTCCTATTTAGATTTGTGATAGTGATAGGCATTTCAAGGTATGGTATTTGATTGTTTGCATGCTGTTCTTCCTACACATTAAGGAAGCTCGACAAACATCGTCTTTGGATGTGATTAAGCGGGTTAGAGAAAAACCCACAGATCGTATAAAACAGACGATAAAATGTGTATTCTCAACAGAAACTTATGATTGTATTTTAAACAGGGATCTCATTAATTTCCTCCCCTACATGTTGATTACTATTTGCCGTGATGTTTAACAGGTGAAGCCATTAAATGTGTTGTAAGCGTAATGTCTAAGTGTAATTTACTATTTTCATTTACTTTTTATCAAATGAATTTGCTGAATTGAAAACAGATCACATATAACATGGCGGTTTTGTAGCTGATGTTTACACTTATTTCAGAGAAACGGTCACACAAAGTGAAATATCGGATAAAACTGTATGTATATCGCTTTATTTATACATCATTTAGTCTTATACATTTGTGTATGTAAGTCACTATTTTAATATACACTAAAACTATTTTTCATTGGCTGTGCCAGTTTTAAATTGATTGTGACGTCATAATATGGAAATTACGTTATGTGATCAATTGAAAATGGCGTAACAATATGGCTACCTCCATTTGTTGTTTTTCCCCCTTTGGCTTTAAAACATTCACAGTGTTACTTTACTGCGCTATGTTATAAGAATGTTTTGGTTTTCATTTCCTAAGAAACTTCATGAAACTTATTCTCGCCAAGACTCACAAGAACAGAAAAAATCTAACACCCATAAAATTTCATATGAAATTAAAACCCCTAAATACTTATGTTGTTTCTATCTTACACATGACCTGCCACACGCCATTGTATCGACTGATTTGTCCGTGTCCAGAGTTGCTAGATTTCAGACCGTATACTGAGGTCTTTGAATGTCTCATAGTATGTTTTATCATGTTTCCTTGTTATTGGTTTTCAGTCGCGGAATACGGCATTGTATCCACACTTGAATTTACCTTTATATGTCGTTTTTGTTTAATAAGGGAAAATCTTGCTGCTTTTTTGTTCATAAAAAATTGTCCTTTGTACAATGGTTGATTCTGAGTTTACAAATTTGTCATCTTTATAATACCATTAAAACTGAATGGCTACTTTTCCTTTGAATAGTGATGGAACTGGAATTGAATGTTACCCAATCAATTCTACTGCAATGTAGAACACTATGAAAGGAAATAACTTCGATATGCGACAAATACGAAATTCGCTTTATCTAAATTCATCCAAACTTCAAAATTGTGTATTAATTGAGCAATTCAAGATAAAATAGTACATTTGCGTCTACGCTGATCTGGGGAGTGAAGATGTTAGCAAAATACCCAAACTACATCTACCAAAATAGTGAAAACCTATTAATTATTGGCATCGTATGCACGAAGTACGGACGGTTTTATGGAGATCACCTGGCTCACGAGGGAGAATTCTTTTCTTCTGCATATAAGAAACCATATATCGATATTCATTTATTATAAATTGTTCCACTTGAGTCAATGAACACTACATTCACTAATATTATCTTATTGCATGTCTAATTCCATCTTATCTTATTATTAGTGAGCGAAATGTCACGGGTATGAGTCTTACTGCGGACGCTGGGCGTTTTTCTTTACCTCCTCCAATCACACATTAAACAAAGGTTGCTATTTTATTTACAACCATACATGCTGCGAAGGAATAGGAGCTATAGTCTCATCTCTTGTATAAGGGAGATAACTCTTTTAGTCTTCAAGTAAAGTAGTAACAATGATGTGTTTATGAAACACTATGTCCTCGGTTGCAACTAAATTCTTAGGTGGAATATTGAAAATGTACTATGTAATGTATGTGCTAACTGCGTACACACTTTATGAAGCATTCCTATGGCTTTGTTGTGGCAATAATTTGCTTTTTTACTCCATTAAAAATAAATATCACATCAAACTTGAATCCACAAGCTTTACCTCTTATTGTGAAATAGCTGTGGCCAATGCTATTTTTTCCAATGCACGTCAAAGGTCATGGTCAAGGTCATATGGTCAAAAATTTTGGTACCATCGGAAAAGTCTTGTCACAAGGAATGCACATGAAAAATATGAAAACCCTGTCTCTTACGTTGCAAAAGTTACGGGTAAGGTTAACGTTGACAACAGACAAACCAACAGACACTACAAAATTAATATGCCCCGGGTCTGTCATTCTCGTTATCGATTCTTCATTCTATCTCTCCCTTTTTATATATAGTTGAGGTATTTTTTTTTTCTAGAATTTATAATAAAACTCTACTTTGGGTTATAAAACGATGATTCAGCCGTTCAAAATATTTTAATGTAATAACTTGTGTCTAATCCTTTTGCTATTACACTTGGCAATAAAATATGTTTCAACTCAATATTTTAATTGTTAAAAAACTGAAAAATATGAACATGGTTATTAGATAACTTGTAGTTTATGTCCTTTGTGATCAGTATCGTAAGGCTAATTGTGTATGAAATATTACTCTAGGCCTGAAAACTTCTATGTGTTTCAACTTGAAATAATTCTCGTGTTTGTTTCAATGACTGAAACGTTATTGCCAGTGGTGGAATAACCACTGTGTGTAGAACCATCTTACTCCGATAGGTACGGCTCGTAACTATAACTCACATATATCAAACATCTATCATGCCATGAATGTCAAGAAAATGGCGGCTTCAGTCAATGTTTGGACAAATATTGTGATAAAAGAGCAAATCCTGCTCTTTCGGTTAAAAATAAGATGATAGTATATAACCAGCAAAACAATCAGATGTAGGAGATGACGTTCTTTATTAAATTAACTAAAAATATGCTTTTTTCAACCGTGATGGCATATGTGCATCTTGCAAGTAGGTGGTTTGGACAGGCATTGTAGATTCGTGTTATTTTTTAAGTACTCAAACCACATAATTCTTTGCGAATGCATGCTGGTAAAATATCGCCTACCTCGAAGGTATAAGTGACTTTTGTGCTGTGTGTGTGTTACGTTGAAGGTAAAGGTGACTTTTGTGCTGTGTGTGTGTTACGTTGAAGGTATAAGTGACTTTTGTGGTGTGTGTGTGTTACGTTGAAGGTATAAGTGACTTTTGTACTGTGTGTGTGTTACGTTGAAGGTATAAGTGACTTTTGTGCTGTGTGTGTGTTATGTTGAAGGTATATGTGACTTTTTTACTCTGTGTGTGTTACGTTGAAGGTATATGTGACTTTTGTACTCTGTGTGTGTTATGTTGAAGGTAAAGGTGACTTTTGTGCTCTGTGTGTGTTACGTTGGAGGTGTATGTGACTTCTGTACTGTGTGTGTTACGTTGAAGGTAAAGGTGACTTTTGTGCTGTGTGTGTGTTACGTTGAAGGTATAAGTGACTTTTGTGCTGTGTGTGTGTTACGTTGAAGGTATAAGTGACTTTTGTACTGTGTGTGTGTTACGTTGAAGGTATAAGTGACTTTTGTGGTGTGTGTGTGTTACGTTGAAGGTAAAGGTGACTTTTGTGCTGTGTGTGTGTTACGTTGAAGGTATAAGTGACTTTTGTGCTGTGTGTGTGTTACGTTGAAGGTATAAGTGACTTTTGTACTGTGTGTGTGTTATGTTGAAAGTACAGGTGACCTTTGTGCTGTGTGTGTTACGTTGAACGTATAAGTGACTTTTGTGCTGTGTGTGTGTTATGTTGAAGGTATATGTGACTTTTGTACTCTGTGTGTGTTACGTTGAAGGTATATGTGACTTTTGTACTCTGTGTGTGTTATGTTGAAGGTAAAGGTGACTTTTGTGCTCTGTGTGTGTTACGTTGGAGGTGTATGTGACTTCTGTACTGTGTGTGTTACGTTGAAGGTAAAGGTGACTTTTGTGCTGTGTGTGTGTTACGTTGAAGGTATAAGTGACTTTTGTGCTGTGTGTGTGTTACGTTGAAGGTATAAGTGACTTTTGTACTGTGTGTGTGTTATGTTGAAAGTACAGGTGACCTTTGTGCTGTGTGTGTTACGTTGAACGTATAAGTGACTTTTGTGCTGTGTGTGTGTTATGTTGAAGGTATATGTGACTTTTGTGCCGTGTGTGTGTTACGTTGAAAGTATGTGACTTCTGTGCTGTGTGTGTGTTACGTTCGAGGTATAGTGATTTTTGTGCTGTGTGTGTGTTACGTTGAAGGTTGTCGTCTATTGTTAATGTTATTAAACGATTGATAGAGTCAAGTCGTTCCAATACACTGGCAAATGCTTCAGTTATACATGTTTTCGTTAGTCAGAGTTAATTCTTTAAAACTACTTTTTGATCTTTTATCCAATAAATCTACACGAGGGGACATGTACCCTGTTGTAGATTTATGGAGAGGGACTTAAAATATCGGCATCCATATCGGAATCTTTTCACGCCCTTTTACTCACAGTGAAAATACATGTGCTACAACTTATGTATTAGCTAGATCAAAATGATTCAGCACCAATGTAGTTTTACATACAGATAGCTGGCCATTATGTTCAAACTACACAATGCATATTCTCGAGTTCAGAAATTCAACAGATTTTCCCAGAAACACGACGAACAACACGTCATCTTTATGTATATACAATCAGAGACATATATGTCTCTGATTCAATTGATATTGTATATTGAAATGCGTGTACAGAAACCATCCGTTACATAGAAAAATTACAACCCAACAACTACATATATATACATAAGATATAAGATGATTTGGCTTTTCATCATATTATGCATTTTAATTATCTTTGCTATAACAAGTTGAAACACGCGCCTGTCGAGTTACTCCCCCTTTATGTACTCTCTCACCGTGAAACCAAGACTAGTCTGCATGAAATCATTTCCTGTTGAGGAAGACTTTGTTGTCAATAAAGAGTTCCTTGTTATATTTGTGAATTTGGGTCGATTTCACGGCTTTTAATAAATCTTCATCTATTTAGGATACATCTAGTAATATTTCCTGATATAATCCCGACATACTTAATAGTATATATCCTGTTAGTGATAAAAGCTTGGGAGGTCACGCCGGATTTGAAGAAAAATGGCGGGTGTGTTATTCGAAGATATATTCGATGTGAAAGATATTGATCCTGACGGGAAGAAATTTGACAGAGGTAAGTTGAAGTAATTTAAGCTTATCCAGTATTTTAGACGGTGTTTCAATACACGTAAGTTCAATTTAGATTTAATTAATTGCCAGTTAATGAACCTAATACCCCTTGAAGCGGCGAGCATGTGTCTGCTTGATCAGCACAACGTCAAACAGTGCATGCTGTTGTCTTATATTCATCAAGATCTTAAGTTAACGTTATCTTGTCGAAAGAATTTGAATACACAGTAGTTTTAGAATTAAAAAAATGCTTGTAAACGATCGATATAGTTTTACACTGTTGAATGAGTACCCGGTACTTTTTGAACTTGTCAAAACTTGTCATACTGAAGTAGTCTGATTGGTCCCGGACTTCAAAAGTCCTACAAAACCCCCCGTGGATCTTGACGATTCTGACAGACCAAGGCGTAACACGGACCGAGTCGTACATCTAGGCAAAACAAGAGTGCCGACATATCAAGATTTTTTAACAGCCGAAAACATGGCAGATTCGAGAAAGGCGACTTCAGAAATGCATGCAAAGATAAAAATATTCGGAAGACAAGAACTAATACCGAGTGTGGACTGATGATGGGTTACGGAGAATGAAAGCTACAGAAAAATGCCTGGTAAATCATGTGTGAGCCTGTCTTGTCACTAAATGTTATCAAACCACTGATAATTTTGCTTAAACAGTGATTAGGCAGTGTCACTTTTCTTGATATGTTTGAAATAATTATCAACTGTTAAATTTGTTACTTGAATTTGAATTATTATATAAATATCTTTAATGTCTTCTTGGTGTATGTTGTTAAACACCATTTATGTATTAAACAGCAGGCTGGGACATGCCATGGAATGGAATCCATGATCACCATTGATTAAACAGTCATTTTTTAAAACAAAGATAATTGAAGTCAGCTAAAGTAGATTTAATTATCTCTTTATGTAACTCCCTTAAGTTATTTTTGCTCTTTATAAGAAAGTTGGTAACATTTGGTGACAGTGCAAATTTCACATGTTGGATCTTGCAGCATGGGTTGCCTAGGTATGGAATACACATACAAACCAGGTACCAACTGGTCTTTGAGATAAAGTTTATTCCCTACTCTGTCAAACCATATTTCTTTGATTTTAGCTTGCTAATTTAGTGGAGGCAATACTTACACCATATTGTATTTTTTTCCCAGGTTGATTTCTTTTAATACTCTTTCATGAGAAATTGTATTTTTTTTTTCAACTGACTCTACAAAGTAGCTGACGTCAGATTGCTGCAGAGTTATTTTTGTCTAACCATTTGTTAATAGAAATTAAGATTTTTTACAGCATTTAGGAAAAAGTATACAAACACTTGCATGTTAATTTATACTGCACAAGATCACTTTTTTTACACACGTTCTAATATAGGTTGATGTAATGTGTCTCAACATTAATCCGCTATAGAATGTCATTTAATACATACTTTAAAACACTTAAGCTTACAGGAAAATGATGTAGATAAAATGTACAGATTTATATCAAGAAATAATATATGATATTTTGGATGTTAGTCAATATTATAGTGTTAATGTCCTTGTCGGAAACCAGAACTATTCATCATCTTTAAAGTTCAAATGCACATGTAGAGGATACAAGAAATACAAGGATTGTGTTTTTCAAAGTGGTGAAAAGGATAAGTTTTACTGCAAAATCGAAAAGAATAGTTGAATAGTTTACAAAGAAACTTTTTTATGCTTTTCATCACTAATACTCAACCAGTCTGTAGTTAAATGATATGAAGATGTGTGAGCTGTGTGATCTAGACTATGACCATGCACCTATATACATGTATACACTTCTCTGGAAGGTGTGACATGATCAGTGTAAATAGACTTATCTAGGTAATATAAATCTTAACACGACTGGCCAAAGAGTAAGTCTGTTATTGGTGGTATGTGGATGAACTTTGACCTATAGATGTGCTTGATTTAGGACTTGATTAGCAGATTTTAGCCTTCTGTGACCAAGTGTCTGCAGATCTCCCTAATAGCAAATAAACCTATTTGTCATAAGTATATATAACAAAAGCTTAAACACTTTAAATGGTTTTGGTGCAACTCTGAATCTATGTTGGTGTATTTTGTACCAGTCATTTGTTTTGTTGACTTCACATTACAGTTTTCTCTCTCCAATTGTCATTCTTTGTAGCAGTACTCAAAGGTGAAATTTCGCTTTTGTTAAAAGTTGCTAACAGACCATAGTTTCAAGAGTGAATGCTTTTAATTAGGGGGGATTTTTCAAGTTCACAAACACAACCCTTGAACAAGATGTTTGTTGAAATGATTTTCACATGTTTCATCTGCATACAACTCTGATGTACATTTTATACTAACTTGTGTATATTTTTTTTTGTTTTTGTAGTTTCCAGGCTATTCTGTGAGTCAGAGTCATTTAAGATGGACCTGATCCTAGATGTTAATACGCAGCACTACCCTGTTGATCTAGGTATGCATTTAACCACAACATTATTATAAATCTTCTGACAGCAGCTTTTTATACACATTTTATGTGCATTCTGACATGGAAATGTCAAAAACTATGAATTAGTTCATTACAAGAAAAAGTATGGTAACTATGTGTACAGTAAAAACTTATCATAAACAGTTACCCTGCATAATTTTTAAAATGATTCATATACCAATAGATTTTTAGCTTAGATTATACATGCATGAGAAATATAGAAATAAAAAAGAACAAAATATTATTGTTTCTGTTAACACAGGATCAGATTTGATTTAATGTTGTTGATCATGAATGTTGTTAAGATTTAATTTAACAGATGATCTGTAAAATAAGAATCTAATGTCATTTCTTAAAATCACCAATTTGAATAATCTTAATTCTTATCTAAGAATATTAAGACAGACAGAATATCTTGTAAATCAATTATTGCTTAAGTTCAGTGGTCTCTGTTAGTGAGGAAGATGGCATTCAGATATCAACAGGTATTGGTACGAATGTTGAAATTTTTCCTCTCAGATAATATTTGGTTCAATCACACATTAACTTGGTCATGGTGTAAATCTAGATTTAAACAACTCATTGTTGAGCTGCTCAGAAATACGTTTCAGGATATATTAGCTATTGAAGAACACACTGCACATAACAAAGGCCCATCCATTTTATCTAATATCAGATCTTAATTTGAATCATTATTGATAAGGTTCAACAGATATCTTTTGTCCTTCTAGATCACTGCATGTGGTAACTTAAAACAATGCAGAACATTAAAATGATTTAAAACAAAAGACTCATGTAGCTATGTTCTCATCGTATAATGTAATATATAGGTACATATACTTGTGATCCATGGCTAGATTGACAGACACAGGGCTATTGTTAGGAGGTTCCAAGTGTCCATTTAAAGATACCATGGTGACTGCTTAATCAGCCACAAACCTTTTCTTGTGAAGTTTTAGCCAACCGAATGGTAGGAAACAATGATAAGGTTATTCTAACTTGTTCTAATGGTACATAGTTGAAGTGCATTTTTTCATTGGCAAGATCTATAAATTAAAATCCAGCAAATTTTGAAGAAAAATTTGTCTCAACTTGTCGAAAGATTGTACATTGGTAAAGAAACAATGACTTTGCAAAGTAATTGAACACTGGTATATATACACGTGTGTATGAAGTGCATACTCAGTATACACAGCCTTTTAAATTCCAATAGAAAAACTACACGTTTTCAATAGAATTATATGTCTATACTTGTCTTGGGCTGGGCAGTTAGTATACAGTTATGTCCTATTACAATACTATGAGGTCGTTGCCGAGTTTGTATGGACATGAATCAAACTTGTAGATCAATATGCAATACTAAAGTCACACTGGCTCCACAGACTCAATACAGACACAAAGATTTCAATGAAAAATTTTCTTTCTTTAATATATTCAATATTGAATCATTCAGCTGGTGCAAAATTGTTTAGTTTGTATTTCATGCATATTATTGGTAAAAGAAAAGAAAACAATAAACTTTACAAATTGAATGTTAACTGTAGCAGCGTGTAGGTTCATGTTACACAATATCAATAATAAAAATGAAAATATAGTTAATTTTACAATACATAACTTTCTTCTAATATCATTTTAAGGTTTGTGATTTGATCTTTGTGATATTTATCACCTTTATATCACATGGCTGTTTCAAATTTGAATTTTTTTCTGTCTTCTGTGGAGTTGATTTGCTCTTATTGATAGATGGAATCTTAAACTTATGTCAGTGTATCGAATGTTTTAACTTCATTCATCATCAGTAATCAGGTGTAGTATAAGAAGTAAATTGATTATCATTTCACCAACACTTATTTGTTACCATGGAAATCAAATTTGATAAGCCTTTAATGATTGAAGCCTTAATTTTAGTTTCAATAATGTTTTCACTTATTTTGAAAGTTTGTGCTTTATCATTAAATTAATTTGACTTCAAAAGCATTTATTTACTAAAAGCACACAAAAATTAAATATGCTTAGCAAGTTTGAATCGTAAGTGTTTTGCCAAACCTATTCATAACTGTATTTTTACTTTCCAAAAACCCATTTTTTTCAGCTCTCAAACAGTCCACTGCTTTTCATCATATACTCATGTATGAAAATGACTTTTATATATATTCAAATTGATCAGTTTTGTCAAAGATTGCCTATAGATAAGCAATGTGCAATGATTCAAATTGTCTAAAAAATGTCATTTTTCATTGGAAACCAGTGGATTGCAATAATCTGTGAACATTTGTGTACATAGTATTATCAGTGGTAACAAGACCCTTCCTTACATGCTTCAAAGCAAATGCACCACACCATGTGTATAGAAAAGATCTGTTCTAACTTGCTCCATGGTAGTGCAAATAAAACACCCACGTTTAAATACCATGGACTTTTCACGGGTATGTGTTATGTACAAATGATTTATCTCTTGAATCAACAATATGGTCACTGAAATTTTAGAATAATTCTACAGTTTTATAATTCGATGCAAAGAAAAACTGGTGACATTTTACCATGAATATTACATTGACCTTACTGTTCTATAGGTGACAAGTTTCGTATGGTGCTGGCGACAACGTTGCGAGAAGACGGATCACCAGACGATGGAGAGTATAATCCTCTGGACACTGGACCATCTCGAGCAGATAGCTTTGAATATGTCATGTATGGCAAAGTATACAGGATTGAGGGAGATGAGACTGGTCCCGATTCCTCACGATTGTAAGTCTGAATTTAAACTACTGTTTTCTTAGCCAGTCATTTTCACTGTATCTGAAGTCAACTCACATGTACAGCTTTTCATGGACTGATCAGCTTAACGTTACACCATGAAACAACAATTAATCACTCAGACAATTTCAAAATGTAAGAAAAAGACATACATGTGAAAACGACATTGATAATAAAATTGTTAGTTTTTTTAATTTTATTTTGATAAAATTACAAGTCCTGATTAATTTTTTCATGGTGAACTGTTAAGTAGATTGCCTGTTTGTAGCTGTGTATATTTATATGTATGATGTGGTATATCATTATCAGTTGAATTTTTCTGGAATTTCTTCATTTTTAATTAATTTTCCAAAATTGTATTGCCTCTGTCCTAAGGTGTTGTGGGAGGTGACAGTATAAAAATGATCCTACCACATCTCACATTTACTTTTAGATAGCTGTGTCCATTACTTACTTGTCAGATTTGATATTTGCAAAGATATAGAAGCTACAAAAACAAGTGTAAAGTACTCCTCACCTAAATTTGTTATTCTAAATTTGAATTTAAACTGCTTATAACAAATTGAAAATGTGTCCAGTGGTGACAATTTGAAGCTGTTTCCAAAATAATTCAAAATAGATTCCTGGCAGAAACATAGATTCTTTATGAAATTTTGGCCCTTTTGTGTTACTTGAAACTGATAAGTTATGGACACTTTTGTTCTAAAAACCCCTCCTCATAACATGTTTAATAATTTATCCTGGTATTAGTTCACACTAATGAGGATGCCCAGTCCTTGTTTCACTGCACAATCAGGATGTTTCATCAGCAAGGAAACTAATCTTTCCCATCAACTTTTCAAATTTTTTAGCAACACAAATTTTACTTTTGACCATAATTTCAAATATTATCAGTCAAAAATAAGTTAAATGAAAACACAATTAAGACCAAGTATATGAAGATTTTATTGAAGTTATGACTGAGATGAGGCTCCTTGTTGGTCCTTACTAGTTTTGTTGTATTAACATAGTTTATATATAATTTGCATGCAACTTTATTGAATGTCAGTTACATGACCTGAATGAAACGTGTCAAGTATTTCAAATTGTTTCTGCTTCTGTTGGTGTTCTTGTCGTATTGTAGAATATTTTTTAATGCATGAACCACAAGTTTATATTACTAAATCTTTATCCTGTTTATATTTTTAAGTTTAAAAAAAAACTAAGGTAAATAAACATTTATATATCATGACATCATATGACTTGTATAGGATAGTGTTTCATAATGGTGCATTTAGTTGGGGGTAAGCTATTTTTTTATATTAATTATATTATGTTACACAGAAATGAAATGAAAGAAATTAAAATTGTTAAGCAGAGATACATCATTCAAACCTTTAACTCTGGAAATGAAAAATGATCCTGGTAGATTTTGAACTTTGATATATGAGTGATCACATGATGTGTGCTATCGCAGTCAAGAAAGTTATCACACGAATGTCCTTCTCTGATAAAGCAAGTAGATATCATATAAACATGACAAGACAAAAAAATTGTTGACTGAAAAATGTTTGATTATATTTTTGAGTACAAACATCCATACCTAACATTACTGCTCATGTAAGATATGGAAGAATATTGATATTTTTAATTATCTTAAAATTAAAACAATCACCCAACCAGTTATTACGTTGTATATAAAATATTTCATTTAACAAGCAAAAAAATTGTAAATCTATATTAGTGCGGATTTCTCTAGAGTAAGGGTTATGTGTGAATCTAGATCATGGATATCTACATAATGTGTGCTTAGGTCGTATTACCGGAACATACAGCAGTTATATATAGTTTACAAGTAGGCATACTTAGCATTCTTACATCACGTCTATTTTGAGAGTGAGAGAGAACTGTAAAGATGCCTCAGTCGTGAGTATTATTTAGACATCATTTTACAACCATTTCGGATCTGCATAAAGTTAATTTTATATCTTACAGTAGAATCAGAAAACATTAACTATGATTTACTGTATATGAAATATTATTTATCTTCGTATTTGATAAATTTGAGAGATACAGATTAATCTATGTAACACAGTATAAGACAGGGAGAGATCTAAAATGCTGTAGTGAATACATCGTCGTCACAAGATATATACACCTACTCCATTGAACACCCTGTTTATAAAGTCATGGCTTTTGATAAATAGAACATTGCGATGCATAAATTTAGTGTATTTATCCGTGAGTTTTTAAACAGATGTCAGATTTTACTTCGGTGTGAATTAACATCAAAATATCACAGAATCAATAATTTTCTGTATCAAAGTCACGTAAACAAAATATAAAACTTGTTTTTATTCTGAATGAAATTGTTTTAAAAAATGAGTAACTGTTTGTACTTGTCATATCTTGGTTTGACCGTGTTAGACACACCATCTAATAATAATCACCAGTCATACACAAAATATCTGCGATTTAGAAGCTGATTCACTACTACCCAACTTTGGTTGTATCAGACATGACAATTCCTCAAGGCACACAAGTACTTAAGTTGTCAGCCTGTTACAGATGTGAAGATATTTCATTTAGTCAGTGTCAGGTAAGGTGAGATTGAGGTCAGCTTTTTATATTGAAAAGTAGCTGTTGTTTCGAGGATATTTCGACCTATACAAAATTAATCACAGTCAGACCTTTTACATACGATTTAAGTTAATAAGTACAAGCTCTTTCATTTGTAGCCAGTCTTAAAATTATGTCTTGTGTACTTAGTTACATGATGAAGGGAGTAAAAAAAATCTCAGAAAAGTCATATTAAAAGGGAATCCATCTGACATACAAAATACAATCATCATCATCATCATTAAGTATATCATTAAACAGGGACACCTTTCAATAAGTTTTTAACAACTATAAATAACATACCTGCGTGACGATTTATCACAAGAGGCCATCATCGTGGATATCTTAAAAGTCCTGTGCGGGAGAAGATACCATTGTGTGCTCGCATGGGTATTAATTCTGTGAACACAGCTGGTGGTATCTTTTCCTTTGCAGTGAATTGCTTCAGCTTCAGGAAGAGGAGGTATGCCAATGAAGATACGTAAATGGAGATGTTGTATACCATTGAGTTTGAACTTCTTTACTAACACATTGACGAGTTTCGACTTTAATGTATAGGAGAAGTAAGCTTAATATTACATAGATATGTAAAACATGAAATACAAGTTAATCAATAGTTTATGCTAAGTTCCAGGAATTAATTCACACTGAAGAGGACATAGCTTTTATCCAATGTTTGCTTTTGTGTGCACTTGAGACAAATTCTTGGCACAGTCTTTTTCTCAATGAAATGTATCGAGGTCCAATCTCTCACGTGTATTTACTTATCAAACATTATGTCATATTGGGTTTATTGTCCAATCAAATCTTCGCTCATAGTGGGGGTGGTGTTTCTTTGTCACCATAGCAGCCCACTGGGAAGTTCAGCAAATAGGTACACTATTGCCTGGGACCTATTTCGATATTAGCGTTTTTGGAGTTCATCTACCACCAAATAACTGTCATAAATGCTTTCCCTATGATTAAGGCTACCTGTCCGTACATGCTTTCCATTTGAAAAGCTTTTACCTTGGACATTTAATAGAACATGTACATATAGTGGTATACCCCAGACGACTTGTGCTTTACAGTAGGGTTAAGGTGGAGGTATTGCAGTCAATCAGGGCACGGGATTCTTCCTGCAAATAGATCTGCCGGTCATTTTCCTAATGTTTGGGATCGTTAGTCATTCGATTGCAAACATAAACAAAAATATTTGCAAACAGGCTAGAGAAAGTAAGATAGATTTCCTCACCTCAGGCACCAATAATTTCTGAAAGAAAATCCTCTTTTCTCTTGATCTAGACCCACACCTCTGATCAATGTTATTTCCAGTTGAAGTAAATAATGGTTAGAATACATGCATTATATCAACATGCTATTTTCAGTTTAAAGTGGAGCCGATGTCACATTTTATACATAATGTCTTGACCAAATATAAAGTACACCAGCATAGAGTGTATATATATTTGGTTATGGCAATTTTCGGCAAACGTGACGAAGAGAAGATGGCTAAAGAAAATTAACACACCTGCGGTTGATTGAATGTTGCTGTTGTTTAGACTTTAGAGTAGTTTCAATAAAATCCCCCTACATGCGAGTTTGGTTTTCATTTGTATGTATGTTGTATTATCTAATTAGTAATTCTAATTCGTTGAAAATGTAGAAAAACCATTTAGAATTTCGATCATCAACATATCCGTTGAACATGTTCTTACGGTCATGTATGTCATTGTTCTCTGCATACATGTATATACACCAGTATTCGCTGGCCATAATTAGGTGTATCAGTGGCTTTATGTCGAGTTTGCCAAGGATCTCTTTCTCTCGGTAAATGCTAGGGTATGCAATATTTCCTCTACATGTTTTAACGCGCATAGCCGTTCACCGGGGTCACCGCCAAATATGACAGGGCGTTATGATCAATTGGGGTGTGTACTCGCGTGGTTACGTGCTGTCTATTAGACTAAGATATCTAGTTTTAACGAAATATCAATAGCAGATTAAAGCCGGAATGTTTATATCGAACTTTCAACATTATTGTTTGGGTTGTACTTAGTAGTTTACTGGCCAATATTAACATTTGTTGAGTTATGACAGTCTGTATGTCAAAATTAGTCAAGTTGCATACACATTGAAAATATCGATAGTCCGTATGTTCATTGCTTCATTAAGTTTCGGAGAATTAGGTTGAAGTGGTTCCAAAAACGCTTTTTGTTTAGACCAAACGTCTTTAAAATTGTCACGGGGATATATCAGAGTAGTTATCCTTACAAAAGCAATATTCGTCGAATATGTCACGCTTCACTAGCTTGTACAGGTAACGGTATAGATTTGTATAGATCTTTCCGTCAGGTACACGGCAAAGTTTGTCGTTAATATAATTACCCATTGTACCCCTGCTAACCTGAATG